CAAAAAGATACTTCAACCTCTGATTGTTGGGATAGTCTGGGTTGTCCAACATTTCCAGAATGTTATATGTGGTACTCAAGAACATGTCAACAGACCCACTTGATGTTCCGGTAGCATCCCCCGAAATGGAGGAACACAACAACTTCATGGCCAATGGTACACTCCCGCAAATCTGCCTAACTTTTATACAATCAGACTTACTCGCTTCTGGAAGCAGTTCTTGAACAAGTTTTGAAGAGGATTGCTCATCCAGCTCTCTAATTCTTAAAGCATTGTGTCCTTTGAAGCGCAGATTTAAGAATTGACAAGATTCCCTTGTGGTGAGAAGAAACGTTACCTTATGGCTGCAATTGAGAATTTCTCCAATTAAATCAACAACTTCCTCTTTGACGTTCGGAAGGCCACTTTCAAAAAGATCATCGGCATTATCAAGGATGAAAACGAAGGGATTTGCAATTTGAGCCAAAATTGAGCAAAGTTCGTCATCTGCTGTCAAACGCTGGGATGCTGTCGCAGAATGCGTAAACAGTCCAAGAAATCTCGACGTTAGATCACTCTTTAACCTTAGGCCACGTAACGAAATAAAGTATACCGGCAGGCCTTGCGCTTGGAGGCGATGTCCTATGGCGATTGCAGTCGACGTTTTTCCGAACCCTGGCGAGCCCCATATGGAAACGAGGCGAGTGGCTTCGTTGGTCACGTGAGCAATGACGTCGTTGCATTCCTCCTCGCGCCCAGTGAAGTGAGGAACCATTGAGGGAAGATTTGATTTTGGTAGAGTGGGCTTAAACTCTGCGACAAAATGACAGAATTTAGTTCGGAAGATGAACATATGTGCAAATGCAAAGTATAGTATTCTACGGCGGTTAGTATCATAATACTTCTAAACAAATTCTCCTCTGAATATAATTTCAGAATTAATGTGAGAAGTTTGGCTTCATCAATTAACAAAATTTATTGTTATAAGAAGAGTGGCCTTCAAAGTTTCTGACTGCTTTCTTGAAGACTATCTGGTAGTTCTCCCCTTAATAGTTAACAATCGCAAAAAAACATTATCTTGTTGTTCCTGCGAAAAGAAGTCGTCTTTAAGACAAACAATAGCAGGCCTATTACCTTGTTTCGTGGTCTTTATGGTGATGTCATCAATCTTTTGGTTCAATTCAGAAAGTTTCTGACTCATTTCTTGTTGGGGTACAGATGATGTTGCCAACTCCAACTGTTTCCTCAACTCCTGAATCTCCTCTTTTCTTTCTTGAGCTGCTGATGCTGCATCTTTCTCTCTTGCTTGGTTTGATTGCTCGATGTTAGACCTGATAGTTTCTTTAAGCTCCAACGCCTCCTTTCTCATTTCCTCATTGTGCCTTTGAAACTGATTCTCCAACCGCTGAATGTCCTCCTTCCTCTCTTTGGTTACGTGTGCTGTTTCTTCTTCTCTTGCTTGCTTCGATTGCGCATTATGAGACCCGATAACTCTTTCCACTGACTCCAAAGTTTGTTCTTTCTGTTCTTCATTTTGCATTTTCAGCTGTCGGAACCCTTCTTTTATCTCTGTCACTGTCCGTTCTGCCTCATCCCGCCGCTCCTGGTTTGCTTCTGCGATATCAGACATCATACCCATCAGCTTATTTTCTACTCGGTCTTTGAGGAACACATTTTCAGCCTGGCCATCTTTTCTGATCTCATCCTCGAGCTTGCGGACTTTTTCTATTGGGAAATCTGCCTCAGTTAAACTTCCAATTGTATTCACACAGCTGGATGAGACACCAAGGGCTTGGAACGCGTCTTTGGTTTGTTGGATGTACTTGTCGAATGTTGCTTTTGAGATCTCGGAGCTCGGTGAGTGGCAGAACGTATTTCGTAAAAGTCGCAGTTGATCGATCGCCAAAGTAAATGACTCAGCATCGTTCCCAGTTGAGCTGATCACAGAAGTATGGAAACCTCCGGGAGGGAGTCCATGGGGTCTCACGAACAAGTAGCTGAGTGTTCTGTGATGTCCTCTGCCGTCTGGCATAGAAAAGGACTTTGCGAAGATGGTGGCTTGGAACAAGGCAGTACAATCCCAGTCATCATACGGAAGATTAGTAGGGACTTTAGTTGATCCACCCTCTGTGGCAAGGAACAGATTCCGCACGGCAAGGGAGTCATCCCAGGGCTGGAAACCAGGAAGATGTCCAAAGGTGTTGTCCCACCTAGTTTTGAAGGCTTGACGTAATATCTTTGGAAATTCATTAATCACGACAGAAGCGAACTTGAAGTAATTTAACTGTTCGTTTGTAAACGGCTGTAGAGTCATTACTGTTACCTCGTTATGACGAGCAACGATGATCTCAGTACATTCGGAGAGATTTCCCTGGGGTCTGTAATAAAACAGTCCTAATTGAGAAAGGGACTTCCTCACTAAAATTTGGTACACTGGGGGTTGCAGCGAGGCCAGTTATAAAAAGGAGTTTTTTAGAGATACCTGAAAAGATTTAATCGAGGATGGCTTTGAGTTTAGGAAGGAGAATGTCTTTCACCGCTAATGGTAAAATAATTACTCAGCGATTGAAAGCAATCCTAATTTCTCGCATCACTGTAAATTTTCTCAGCCCTTAACTTGACCCCTACATAAGAGAACAACGAAAAAAAAACTAAGGGGGCTAATTTCTAAAGAAACTGTCGTGCTGCATCGGTGGGAGAGTATATCAGGGTAATTTAGTACTATTAACTGAGTTGATAACGTAAATTGGTCACCTCAAAGTGTTTAAAAGCTGACGTTTCAAGTGTTAACCCTTAGTCGGAGCGATTGGCTAACGCTCGAAACATTAGCTTTTAAACTCTTTACGGTGGCCAATTTACGTTATCAACTCAGTCGATAATACTAAATTAACCTAAAAAAATTAGCCTGTGGTGCTCCTCTTGGAAACAGAGAGCTTACTGTCCCCTTGACAGTCTCGGAAGCGCAGAAGGAAATAAGAGTGCCGCTCTCGCTGAAAGCGGTCCTCTCGACTTCCCGTTAGAAAAAAATTTTCTTTTATTTTTTTTTTTTTAAGAAAGGGAGTAAGTAACGTTGCTAGACCACCTGTGTGGACGGCGATCAAAAGTGTAAATTTCACAGATTTTGTCCAGCGCGCAGCAACTGCGATAATATAGCTCACGGAATTCAATCTTGCTACAAGTTACAAGATGTATTCAGTTAGTTCACAGACAAAATATGGAAACTTCACCTGAAATTTTTTTCTTCGACCTTAATTTTCATATCAAAAGTTCACCATTTTGTACGAAAGAATTCTCAAATTGCAGGCGTTCATCGGGCTAAAAAAGCATATCGGTACATAGTTTATACATCAGTGAGGTCACCGATTGCCTCAAACCCGCGGGTATATCTCTAACTTTCAACCACCAACATCTTAAAAACAACGCAAATCCATGTGTTTGCTAAATTGCGCTCGTGTCAAAGAATATTTGCATAATTCTAAAAATTGACTAAGATCTCCTCTTCACCTTTCAAACTTCGTTTGTTTATCTCCTACATTGAATTAGAATCGAAATTTATTAAAATGGACTGAGGAATTTTACATTTTACTGAGAATTTAATCTTTTAAAATGTTTACTTGATTCATGGAAAGCAAAGATTCTAGTAGCTGCGGGCATTTCAGCCCTGATTTCTGTCGTAGAATACCAGAACGATAATTTCACTTTTTACAACCCGCGAAACAGGTTACATGACAAGGGAAATAAAAGCATAACACGTCACGCAATACATAAAGCTGGGTTTGTCCAGTTGATTTTGATAATCGCACGGAAATCTTGAGTTTGTCGCTCAAAACCGTTGTGGTCCATAATAGCGTAAAATCATTAAAGAAAATTCTTTTTTTCAACGAGAAGTCCAGAGGACCGCTCTTACCGAGAGCGGCACTTAAGGTTTTTGTTCAAGCTGAACAATTTCCGACAGCATTTTTTCAAGTAATATCCGACAAACATGCACATACGTTGTCTAAATAAAGTGCAAAGATGTCTCACCTTTTCTTGTCTGAATCGGAGTGAACTTCCCTTCTCGTTTACAAAAGCTTCCACTACGAAGGAGTGAAACAACAGCGTATTAGTGTAAGAAGAAAAATTTGCTAAAACTTAGGCTCAGTAAAGGCCACTTACGGCATCGACAACCGAGGGAAGGGGTAGGCTACTAACGAAGTAAACGTTCCATACGGGTAAACTCCACTTTGAGGTCCAACGGTTTTTAAACGTTTCAAATTTTTGGACAGCATTGACTCAACAAACATGTGATCCAGATAAAACGCAGAAATAACTTACCTTCTCTCGCCTATGTCGAAGTGAAAGATCGGCAGCGAGAATGGATTCCTCTCTTGTGTATGACAACTTCCACAGGATCTGGCTTCAACGGCAATGTAAAATGTGTGAGGAAAAAAGTGGTAAGGATGCAATACCGCCGAGGAACTGCTCTTGGCGGTATCAAGATCGGGGGGTCCTCTAAGAAGTTCTAGATGAGAAGGTTCCGTCGAGGTCCGACCTCATGCTCACTTTTACAATTGTAGAAAAGGCATCCTTTTCGTACACTTTCCCCAAAACATTTGTACCCCTTTAAAGCCTACTTTTGAATATCAAACCGACAGATTTCGCAATCCGTTAAAAAATCTGGATAAGGTCCGTCTAATGGGCGGAGCCTCCCCATCTGAGTCATTTTATGAAATACCTCACAACCCCCTTCAAGATAGAAGTGAATCGTCTGGCTGCTTCAAATAAAATGTTAACGATTAGCTTTTATTTTTGGCCTAAGATGTGAAGGAATATTTCTCTGTCTCTTAGGTCGTTGATATTTAGGCGCATCTCCTAATTAACTTACAAAATTTAAGCTGAATACGCCGCATGGTGAGCGAGGGAAAATAGTCGGTTTATCAATTTACTGTTCTGATTGGGCAAGTAACAGGCAACAAAAGGGAATTTATTTACTCACCTTTACAATTAAGAATCCGAAGTCGTTCGGAAGTAAAGAAATCTCATCTCGGTAACGAGTCAAATACTTGAAATACGCAGCAGAGAACACCGCCTAAAGAGAAACGGGATGGGATGAAGCGACTCATGACTAACGCCCGAGGCATTCGAATTGGTGGTTCAAATTTTTTAATTTTCTCGGTTTTTTTTTGGCACCAATCACAAAAAAACGCAAGTCAAGAGGCGAGGAACGAGGGCCCCACATTCTCGTGGGTTTGATCTAAGCAGTACTTTCTCTCGACGGCGCGCCTGTGAAATTTAATTATGCTAGGAGTTCAGCCATAAAATGCATTCTTCAAACAGGCTCAAATACATACGCTGATGATTCATGCGTCGCGTTTAGCTACACGTGAGAACTCACTTCGCCTATAACTTCGAGCCTTTCACAAACGCGCAAGTGACATACCCAGCTTGTTTCACACGTTATACGTCACGCCTCGATTATGCCGAGAGAACACAATGGTTATCACGTCTTTTGAAGATAAGCAACAGTTATCCAGCCACTGGTGTTTTGACCGACTTCTCTTTCTAAGCCATATTTATTCTCAAACAGTAGATATTTATAAAGAATTCTGTACAATAAAGAGGATGATTATTTTTACTACAAGACTGAACGCGAGCAATCGAGATGGCCGCCTAGTACAAATAAATCAAAGAAAATCTAGTGGCGCTTTAACCTTTTAATCCCTGAGAGTGACAAGGTTCTAATTTCTCTTTACAATCCTTCCCTTGAATCAAATGTTTAAGTCACGAGAATAAAGGAAATGATCCGCAACTAACGAAGCTAGTGATGGTTTTACAAATTCTCCTTATTAAAACTGAGGAAATGTATAAAAAACAGTATGGAGAATATGCATAATGATGTTAGGGTGTAAAGGGTTGTGGCAGCTACAGTGGCGTTTGACACGGAGGGGGTCAAGTATTGATTGTAGTAAAGTCACAGCCAAACTCATCAAAATCAATCACTGAGAACAATGGAAAACATCATAAGCAGCCAATGGATCTCTTTCCGTTGAAAAGTTTTGATTTCAGAAAAGCAAGATTGAATTTTCATCACTTTTATCGAGTTAAGTACGGCTCAGATTGGGACGAGTTAAGAGTATGAAAATTTCTTCATAAAACGCTTCCATTTCGCAAACAAAAACACAAGATATATTCAATTCCATGGTGTGTTCACTAGACTGTTTCAACATTATTACAAGATTATGGCGCAATCTCTGCAACAGTACTTAGTATACCAGAAAATGTAACTCAAACTTCAAAAAAGATGGAAATTGTGGATGGATGGAAAAGTTTTGAAGACTTGGCGTAATACCTTTGGAGATTCACTGAGCACGACAATCTCACGACAAAAGCGAACTTGAAGTAATTTAACTGTTCGTTTGTAAACGGCCGTAGAGTCATTACTGTTACCTTGTTATGATCAGCAACAATGATCTCAAAGCATCTGAAGAGATTTTCCTCGGGTCTGTAATAAAACAGTTCCAATTGAGAAATTACGCGAAATAAAACTTTCATACAAAGGGAATTCTTCACTAACATTTGGTACATTGGGGGTTGCACCGAAGCCAGTTACAAAATGGCGGAGTTTTTTGACACACCTGAGAAGATTTAATTAAGAATAACTCTGAATTCAGGGAGTGGAATGTCTTTAATTGCTGATGGTAAAGTAATTACTCAGCGATTAACAGCAATCCTAGTTTCTCGCATTACTGTAAATTTTTCTTAGCCCTTAACATGACCCCTACATAAGAGAACAACGCAAAAAAAACTAAGGGAGGCCAATTTCTAAAGAAACTGTGGTGCTGTGTCAGTGGAAGAGTATAAAAGGGTAGTTAAGTATTATCACCAGAGTTTATAACGTAAATTGGTCAACGTAAAGAGTTTAAAAGCTAACGTTTCGAGAGTTAGCCCTCCGTCAGAGCAATTGGCAATGGCTAACGCTCGAAATATTAGCTTTTAAACTCTTTACAGTGGCCAATTTACGTTATCAACTCAGTTGATGATACTAAATTTCCCTTAAAAAAATTAGCCTGTGGTGCTCCTCCTCGCAACAGAGCTTACTGTCCCTTGACAGTCTCGGAAGCGCAGAGGGAAATGAGAGTGTATGAGGAATCTTGGGATGTCCCGCCTCGCTGAGTTGCATAACATCTCTAAGTAATCCTTTTGGAAACTCTTCATGATCAACCTTTCTCAAACATACCGCAAAGAAGAACAGTTAACAAAACTTTGAACGACTGGAGTCAAGATTTGAGCTTAGGTCCGGGTTTCATTGGAACAGAGAAGCTTCTGTAAAGGGAAGTCATATTTTCTTGCGTGCGAATGAGCACACATAGGCCGGCCGGCAAGAACGGAAGCTACCTGGAGTCTTGTTTCGCCAAGAGTATATATATCGGTGTTAGAAGTAACTTTCTGCCAGTTAAATATTAATAACAATGATGATGATAATAATAATAATAATAATAATAATAATAATAGTAATGATAAAACCGCGAGGGTTAGAAATACCAAGTTGAGATCTGGCGCGGGATAACCTCTCTCCGGCTATGGGTCAAATAGCATCTTCACCAATATGAGTAGTAGAAATACAAGGAATTCATACCGCATCGCCCGTCGTGCGGGTCATCAAGGAGCGCGTCCTTCATTGAGTTGTCAGGCTGAGGTCGAAAAATTGACTACTGATCTACCCTCTCCACCTGCAGTGGCGGCCAACCCAACTGAGAGTCTCTCACAAGAGGGGACTTCCTCACCAGATCGGGTAGGTAGCAACACAAAAAGAACAAACACCAGGCAGAAATGGACACGAGAAGATTACACCGAAGTCATGTTTTGCTAATATAAGGCAAAGACAGGCCCCAGTGAAGGTGTAACAAAAGATACATACAGAATATGGAGGGAAAGAAACCCAAGTGAAAGGCCCAATTTAACAGACAACGCGGTGATAAACCAACGAAGATCTTTTGAAAAACAAAACAAACTAACAAGGATTGAGCTAGACAACATCAAGCAACGGATTGAAAATTAATTGACTGTACAAAACAACAAAATAGATAGCGTAGTAGATGATGCGTTTGAAGAAAAAGCCAACAACCTTTATGAGGCAACAAAATGAAGATGAGGTAGGACCATCCTATAATCCATCTGAGATCGAAGACTTAGTTAAAGAAATTAAGAGCTGGCAAGGACTGAATGGGAAAACATCAGAATGACAGAGGGTTCCCTTCTACCCAAGATATTAATGAACAGAAAAGTGAAACTGTTGATCAAACAAGCAAACTAAGCAATTCAGGAGGTAATAGCAGAAGAGGTACTCAACCTCAATAACATCAACATAATACAATATGTGACTGCGAAGGTAATATCTGAAATGATGGGTAAAATGCCAAAAATCCTAAAGACAAAAAGTAGTAAACAGCCACAACTAAAATGGAAGACAAGAGAAGAGAATCAGATTAAAAGCATAAGAGCTGAGCTGTCGATACTAACAGACATGGCACAGAAAGGTGAAACCCAAAAGATCTCCAAGAAAAAACAACGAATTAAAAGTAAATACAAAATAACAACAAACCAAGAACTGCAAACAGTAACAGGATACCTCAAAATGAAAATTCAAGCAAAAGCCCAAAGAATCAGGAGACATGTAAAAAGAAGTAAACAATTCAGTCAAAACCAGATGTTTGCAAACAATAAAAAAAGTTCGTCAGAAACCTTGGTAAAGAACAGATGTCAGTTGAAAAACCACTTAAGAAAGAAGCAACAGAAACATGTTGGTGTTTCATCTTAGAGAACAATGGAGTGCAACCATTCAGCAGAGTGGATAAAGAGAGAGGAGCAGAAACAGAATGCCAACTATGGGAGGATATAAGCCTAGATGAGTTGGAGACTGCTCTAAAGAAAACAAGCAACTGGAAGTCACCGGGCCCTGATGTGGTTCCTAACGTCTGGCCCAAACAACTCACAGCACTATATCAACACCTGCTGAATGCATATAACCAAGCAATAGAAAACCCCGAAAATCTGCCTGACTGGTTTACAACAGCACAAACATACTTAATACCAAAGAACAAAGACACAGAGAACCCCAAAACCTATAGACCAATTGCCTGCTTATCAACATCCTACAAGGTGCTCACATCGATTTTATCCGAAAGAAGCTACACCCATAACACAAAGGATTATACATTACCGGAAGAAGAGAGAGGTTGTGTCTAGAATTCATATGGATGCAAAGATCCACTCCTAATAAAAAAAATGATCATAGAAGACTGCAAAAAGAAGAAAAAGAACTTGGGTATGACTTGGATAGATTACAGAAAAGCCTATGACAGTGTCCCTCATAGTTGGATAGTACAGACCTTACAGATGTACAGATTTAATGAAAAACTAATCAGTGAGCAACTGGAAAACTACAATGACGCTATCTTACAATGATGGATGTATCATAACGGATCAGATCAAGATCCAAAGAGGGGTCTTTCAAGGAGATTCATTCTCACCTCTGCTATCTTGCCTGGCTCAGCTGTGCCTTTACCATCAGAGTTGGCTACATCTGGGTATGGTTACAAGATCAAAAACACAAGTGCTCCAATCAGCAATCTGTTTTTATATGAATGATCTAAAATTGTACAGCAAGAACGAGCAAGAACAAGTTGGAGAACTGAAAATAGTGAAACAATTCCATGATGATATCCGTATAGAATTTGGCCTTGAGAAATGTGCCATAGCCAGTTTCAAGAAAGGTAGACTGACCTCAACTGGAAATATAGTAATAGATAAGGACACAGAAATACAAGAGTTGGACCAGGAAGGGGTAAATAAATACCTGGGTGTAGATAAAAGTGATGGTATCCAGCATAGCAAAATGAAAGAGAAGATAAGAAAAAAATATAACAGGAGAGTAAGATTGATCTTAAGAACTGAGCTCAATGGAAGAAACAAGATAGAAGCTATCAATAGCCTTGCATTTTCAGTTGTGCATTATAGTTTTGGCATTATTGACTGGAAAATCTGCGAACTGAAGAAGATTGACACAAAAACACGCAAACTTTTGAACATGCACAAGATGTTACATCCTAAAGCAGATGTGGAAAGGCTGTACATCTCAGGAAAAGATGGAGGACGGGGCCTGATTGATGTAGAAGCAGCATTCAAATCAGTTACAATAGGGCTCAATCATTACCTGAGGCACAAAGAATGGCAATATCCAAAGCAGGTGCTTGGACATGAAAGATATAAAGCCAAAAATTCAATAGCAAGGAATGCTACTAATTTCAAAAGGGAAATAACTGCCAGAGTTTGAGAACAGAGAAGAAAAATCAACCTCGGAAAATGCTAAGGCCCTAAAACACATACTCAAGTCTAAGATGAAATCCATAAACGAAGAAAAGTGGAAATCAAAACATTGCATGGCCAGTATCCCAGGATTCTAGAGAAGCCTCAAGCAGACACAGTCATCACCAACAAATGGTTGTCAAGTAATCTGAAAGGAAAAACAGAGGGACTACTTGTCGCAGCTCAAGACCGGGCAGTAAACACCAGAAACTACCAGAAAGTAATATGAGGCCAGCAAGTGGACGGCAAATGCAGAATGTGTTCACAATATGAAGAGACAGCTGAACTATACTGTATCCGGATGTGAGGCCTAGAACAGAGTACATCTCCAGGCGCAATAATGCTGTAGCATATCTCCATTGGAGCATCTGTAAAGATCACGGTATCGAGATTACAGACAAATGGTATCAACATGAGCCAGAGACTGTGATGCACAGTAAAGACAACAACATCACCCCATTATGGGATATGTCAGTGAATACTGACAGAGCTATAACAGCGAACAGACCAGACATCGTAGTTAAAGATTCAGTGAATTCCCCCTACAAACTGATTGATAAAACTGTTCCATCAGATTGAAACGTCGCTCTGAAGGAAAAGAAAAAGAAAAGCAAGTACAAAGATCTAGAAATAAAAATACAGAGAATGTGACTTATGAAAACCTTGGTGATCCCTGTGGTTGTTGGTGCGCTTGGTACATGTAAAGAATGGGATGGTGGAAAACATAAAGAAAGTATCAGAAGCAGCTACTGTGACGGAGATTCAAAAGATCTGTAAGCTGGGATCTGCGCAAATCCTCAGAAAGGTGCTTAGTGTATGAGCAGAATGATTGACTTGAGTGACTGATGCTCTAGGTGCATGGTTTGCGCTCGGCTGATGCACAAAAAGAACACCAATAACAATAATAATAATGTAAACACATTGTGCAATGCTTCGACTGCTTAGGGAACAATTACAGCTAAAGAAAGTACCACAAGAGCTCAGAGAGACGTGAAGTGAGTACTCTTTGTAAAATCACCGATCAAACTATTCACTTTGAGCCCCTGTGCGGAAAAATCAGTAAAGTTTGTTGTTTTTCGCAAAAAAGGTGGCTTAAATCAAAACCGAACAGATTTATCTTTGCTATGTGATCTTAACGACGGGGAATCTGTGTTTGGTTTAGATCTACGAAATAGTACTCGAGGCATCACGCAACTATTCTGGAATGTAAAATAAGTCAACCTTGGCTGGCTATTTAGCATTTAAGTATGGTAACCGTAAAACTGGAACGAGTCAGTGTCTTTCTCGTCTCGCCCCAATCCCTTTTTCGTCCACACCAGCCCCAACTTTTGGTTTCCATATTTGCGAACAGTTCGTTGAGTAACATTTTGGAACATGCATGAGAGCAAAGACCGATGACTGATAGTTTACAACCATTGGAGTCTTTTAGTTGTTAATTTGAGGAGACACAACAGTTCTAATAAAATTTTGCGTCAGTATGGTATGGGGAGATCCAATAAACAAGTGATCATATCCTCTTTCCGCTTGTCGGTGTAGAATGTCAAGCTGAGCTTTAGGGCGTAAAAGTTCGGTTGAATCAGAATATATAAACTATTGCACAATCGCGAACGTTTTAAACTCCCCTATAGGCGGACAGGCTCGATTTCAGCTGATAAATTGTATTAAGGTTTTTGTTCGAGCTGTTTCCACTACTTTCGGTCGTACCGTCGACTCGTTCCCTTCTGAAACGCTATTAATTTCCGACAGCATTTTTTACAGTATTGTCCGACAAACGTGCCCATATGTTGTCCAAATAAAGCGCAGAGATTTCTCACCTTTTGTTGTTTCAGTCGAAGTGAACTTCCCCTCTCGTTTACAAAAGCTTCCACTACAAAGGAGTGAAATAACAGCGTATAAGTGTTGGAGGCAAAATTTGTTAAAGCTTAGGCTCAGTAAAGGCTACTTACGGCATCGAAAACCGAGGGAAGGGGTAGGTTACTAACGAAGTAAACGCACTATACGGGTAAACTCCACTTTAAGGTCCAACGGTTCTCAAACGTTTTATATTTTTGGACAGCATTTACTCAACAAACATGTGATCCAGATAAAACTCAGAAATAACTTACCTTCTCTCGCTTTAGTCGAAGTGAAAGATCGGCAGCGAGAATCAATTCTTCTCTTGTGTATGACAACTTCCGCAGGGTCTGGCTACAACGACAATGTAAAATGTTTGAGGAAAAAAAAAGTGATAAGGATGCAATGCCGCCTGGAAACTGCTCTCGGCGGTATCAAAACACAGGGGTGCTTGAAGAAGTTCAAGATGAGAAGGTTCCCGTTGAGGTCCGGACCCCTACTCACTCTTACAACTGTAGAAGAGGCATCCTTTTCGTACACTTTCCACAAAAAAAATTGTGCCCCTTTTAAGCCTATTTTTGAATATTTAACCGACAGATTTCGTAATGCTTTAAAAAATCTGAAGCCTGGAAAAGGTCCGTCTAATGCCTCCCCATCTGAGTCATTGTAGGAAATGCGTCACCCCCCCCCCCCCCTTCAAGATAAAAGTGAATCGTCTGGCTGCTTCTATTTTTGGCCTAAGATGTGAAGGAATACTTCTCTTTGTCTCGCAGATCGTTGATATTTAGCCGCATCTCCCAATTCACCTACAATATGTAGGCTGAATACGCCGCATGGCGAGCGAGGGAAAATAGTCGGTTTATCAATATACTGTTCTGATAGGGCAAGTAACAGGCAACAAGAGGGGATGTATTTACCTTTACAATTAAGAGTCCGAAGTCGTTCGGAACTACAGAAATCTCTGAGTCTTGGTAATGAGTCAAATACTTGAAATACGTAGCAGAGAACACCGCCTAAAGAGAAACGGGATGGAATGAAGTGAAAACTGCCTGCTTTGTATTGCAATTATTTATTTAAAATCATAGCATGCAAAAATTAGAGATGTCATTTGAATGAATAACAATAAAATAAAAAAAATAAGGCACTTGTTGATGTACGTAGTCTAAAATGTTACTGTATGTAAACTGAAACGAAACGACCAATTACGACGAAACTGTGAATTACAGATCGTGACGTTTGAACTGCTATGCGCTGCTAAAACGTCGGCTTAGTCAGGCGATGAGGTCCAGATCTCTGGAATGTAGAATAAGATAACCTTTGCTGGCTATTTAGCGTTTAAATATGATAAGCGTAAGACTGGAACGAGTCAGTGTCTTTCTCGTCTCGCCTCAATCCCTTTTTCGTCCGCACCAGCCCCAACTTTTGGTTTCCATATTTGCGAACAGTTCGTTGAGTAACATCTTGGAAACATGCATGAGACGAAAGACTGATAACCGATAGTTTAAAATCATTCGAGTCTTTTTTAGCCGTTAATTTGAGGAGACACAGCCGTGGTTCTAATAAAATTTTGCATCAATCAGAGCATGGTATTGACAGATCCAATAACATGTGATCACATCCGCTTTCCGCTCTTCGGTGTAGAATGTCAAGCTGAGCTTTAGGGCGTAAAAGTTCGGTTCAATCAGAATATATCAACTGTAGCACAATCGCGAACATTTTAAACTCCCCTATAGGCGGACAGGCTCGATTTCAGCTGATAAGTTGTATTAAGGTTTTTGTTCGAGCTACTTCTACCACTTTCATGCGTACCATCGACTCGTTCCCTTCTCAAATGCTATTAATTTCCGACAGCAGTTTTTACACTATGATCCGACAAACGTGCAAATATGTTGTCCAAATAAAGCGCAGAGATTTCTTACCTTTTCTTGTCTAAATCGAAGTGAACTTTCCCTCTCGTTTACAACAGCTTCCACTACGAAGGAGTGAAACAACAACGTATTTAGAGTTAGAAGCAAAATTTGGTAAAGCTTGGGCTCAGTAAAGGCTACTTATGGCATCGACAACCGAGGGAAGGGGTAGGTTACTAACGAAATAAACGTTCTATACGGGTAAACTCCACTTTGTGGTCCAACGGTTCTCAAACGTTTTATAGTTTTGGACAGCATTGACTCAACAAACATGTGATCCTGATATAACGCAGAAATAACTTACCTTCTCTCGCCTATGTCGAAGTGGAAGATCGGCTGCGAGAATGAATTCTTCTCTTGTGTATGACAACTTCCGCAGGGTGTGGCTACAACGACAATGTAAACTGTTTGAGGAAAAAAGTGGTAAGGATGCAATACCGCCAGGAAACTGCTCTCGGCGGTATCAAAACCGGGGGTGCTCTAAGAAGTTCAAGATCATAAGGTTCCCGTTGAGGTCCGACACCTTACTCACTCTTACAACTGTAGAAGAGGCATCCTTTTCGTACACTTTCCACAAAAAAATTTGTGCCTCTTTTAAGCCTACTTTTGAATATCAAACCGACAGATTCCGTAACCCTTTGAAAAAACTGAAGCCTGGAAAAGGTCGGTCTAATAGGCGGAGCCTCCCCATGTGAGTCATTTTAGGAAATACCTCACCCCCCTTCCAGATGAAAATGAATCGTCTGGTTGCCTCAAATAAAATGTTAACGATGAGCTTTTAAATTTGGCCTAAGATGAGAAGGAACACTTCTCTGTCTCGCAGATCGTTGATATTTAGCCGCATCTCCTAATTAACTTCCAATATTTAAGCTGAATACGCCGCATGGCGAGCGAGGGGAAATAGTTGGTTTATCAATGATTGGGCAAGTAACAGGCAACAAAAGGGAATGTATTTACTCACCTTTACAATTAAGAGTCCGAAGTCGTTCGGAACTACAGAAATCTCTGAGTCTCGGTAACGAGTCAAATACTTGAAATACGTAGCAGAAAACACCGCCTAAAGAGAAACGGGATGGGATGAAGCGAAAGCTGCCTGCTTTGTATTCGGGAACACACGATATTTCAATCTCATGACTAATATCCGCGGCATTCGAATATAAACAGACAGAGGTGAAAAGGTTTTTCTCGTGACTTAGTATCTTATTTTACATGACAAATAAAGTAATCAAGTATATCAAATTTTGTTGTTGTTCCTATCAAGAGCCCTTTCCATGTTGCGCAAATTTTGGATTATAGCCATGATTATTATGGTCAGATTTAGCTCAAGGCTTGACCTTTCTAAATAGTTATCCTTCGTACAGCGGACGCTCACATTTGAACACGGACTTTTTGTGACCGAAAAGGATAAACTCCATAAATGAATAGTAAATCGTTTTTCTTATGGTTTATAGTTACTATTGATTGTAGAATCAAACTGTGAATTACAGATCGTGACGTTTCAACTGCTGAGTGCTTCTAAACGTCGACTTAGTCAGGCGATGAGGTCGAATGATTACACGTCAATATTTATGTTGCATGATGGGATAATGGTTAGCTGTCATTGGTGCATGCATTTTGGCACGCCTTAGTTGTATTTAAACATTTATTTTCCATCAAGATGAATTTAGTAATTTAAGTTTCCTCGAGGTGGTTCAAATACTTTTATCTTCTCGTCGGTTTGGCATCAATCGCAAGAAAAACGCAATTCAAGAGGCGAGGAACGCGGGCCCCACGCTTTCCTCGTTCGCGAGTAGGATACAAGCAGTACTTTCTCTTGGTGGTGCCCGAGTGAAAATTAATTAATTCAAGAAATCAGCCATAAAATGCACCATGCACTGCAATTTTTTGACTGTGCTTTTTCCATGAATCTTCTTGACTGCAATAGTTTACGGTGGGTAGAAGGGGCTACTTAAGAGATGCTATAAACACTATAAGCAACTGATCCGTAAGCTTCGTTCTGACCACGCGCTTATCTACGCATTGCGTACCCATACGTTTTTGAATAAATATCATGTATCGAGAGATTTCTACATTGTGTATGGGCTACAGGTCAGAGGTTCCTTGCACCTTTTGAAAATCCTAAGGAACCGTAAAAAGTTTTTATTGCGAATTCTAATTCATTTTAAATGTTATATTTTAATTTAGTTAATTATTTATATGTGGATTTATTTTACTCTTCTATTGGATTAGTGAAGAAGGTAATCCTTTTAGAAACTCTGCATGGTCAACCTTTCTCTAGCATACCGCAAACAAGAACAGTTAATAAAACTTTGAACGACTGGAGTCAAGATTTGAGCTTAGGTCTGTGTTTTATTGGAACAGAGAAGCTTCTGTGGAGGGGAGTCATATTTTCTTGCATGCGAATATGAACACACATATACCGGCCGGTAAGAACGGAAGTTACCTAATGTTTTGTTTCGCCAAGAGTTGTTACATCGCTGTTAGAAGTAACTTTTTGCTGGTTAAATATTAATAACGATAATGATAATATTAATACTGTAAACACATTTTGCAAAGCTTCGACTGCTCAGGGAAGAACTAGAGCTAAAGAAAATACCACAAAGAGCCGTCAAGAACTCAGAGTGACGTGGGGTGAGTACTCTTTGTAAAATCACCAATCAAACTATTCACTTTCAGTCCCTGTGCGGAAAAATCAGTTAAGTTTGTTGTTTGTACGCAAAAAAAAGGTAACCTAAATTAAAACCGAACAGATTTATCTTTGGTGTGTGACCTTAACAACGGGGAATTTGTGTTTGGTCTAGATCTACGAAATAGCACTTCACACATCATGCAACTATTCTGGAATGTAGATATGGTAAGCGTAAGACTGGGACGGGTTAGTGTCTTTCTCGTCTCGCCCCTAATCCCTTTCTCGATCGTCCACACAACCCTTAACTTTCGGTTTCCCTATTTGTGAACAGTTCGTTGAGTAATATCTTGGAAACAGGCATAAGATAACAGGAATTCTATCTTGCTACAAGTTACAAGATGTATTCAGTTAGTGCACAGACAAAATATGGAAACTTCAACTGAAATATTTTTCATACCGGCGTGATTAGAGACCCTTTGATTTGCATATCAAAAATTCACCAATTCGTACGAAAGAATTCTCAAATTTCAGGCGTTAATCGGGCAAAAAAGGCCTATCAGTGCATAGTTTATACACCAATGAAGTCATCGATTGCCTCAAACCCGCGGGTATATCTTTAACCTTCATCCACCAATATCTTAAAAACAGCAGCGCAAATCCATTGTTTGCTCAATACTTCGCTCGTGGCAAACAATATTTGCATAATTCTAAAAATTGACCAAGATCTCCTTTTAACCGTTCAAACTTCGTTAGTTTATGTTCTACATTGAGTATTTAAGGTTTTCATATCAACTGAATTGAGAATAGTTGCCGGGTTGTCCTAAAACGTTGCGTAAACGTGATCGGTCGTAACGCTTGCGCGCTTCCGTGACATACAAAGTAAACAAATATGATCGGAAGGCGCCTTCTCGATAATTGTCGTTGAAATATCAGGTCATGAACTACGCACAGTGTAGAGACGATCAAAATTAAAGAATAAAATCTGGCACTCTGGTCATTACAGACATATCGCGCTGCTTAAAAAGACACACAAACAAGTTAAAATACATTACAGTATTATTTACATAATAAGATACATGAAAAGAATAACTCAGTTCTGATTGGTTAAGATAAATGCAGTTTTCAGAAGAGGGTTAATTCAGTGCAAAGAAGTAACAAACCAGACTGAACAATTCCTTAAACTGTTTAGCCGGACTTTGAACTTTCTTGCGCCTTAAAGATGTGAAAATATCATTGTATATTATTGTTTTGATCGTACGCGGTTGTTTTGACCGAACGCACAATTTTATTCTTCATGTATGTTATTAATACGTAATCAAATGATTTTTCTCCTAGATTTTAAAACTTTAAAACGACATACGATGAATCCTGGCAACTGGAGAATGAGTTCAGTTCAAACGCTAACGAACTTTGACAGCTTTGAAATGTTTTAAGCGGATGCAAAAATCGAGACAAAATTTGTCCTTTGAATTTATAAAGAGAATTCTGGTTTTGACTGCTGGTGCAGATAGCCCAGGTAGTCTCCTTACGAATCAATTTTTAGTGAAATAATCGCCATGACACTCGAGAAATTGAAAATACATCACCCTTGTAATCCGACTTACAATTAAAATTCCGAGAAACTTCGAGAATTGGAAAACAACTTAACCATATTTGAAACATGCGTCTTAGACCATTTTCATGGGCAAAAAATAAAAGAAAATTTTTTTCTGACGGGAAGACGAGAGGACCGCTCCTAGCGAGAGCGGCACTCAAGGTTTTTGTTCGAGCTGCTTCCGCTACTTTCGGGCGTACCGTCGACTCCTTCGCTTCTCAAATGCTATTAATTTTCGACAGCATTTTTTACAGTAATATCCGACAAACGTGCACATATGTTGTCCAAATAAAGCGCAGAGATGTCTCACCGTTTCTTGTCTGAATCGAAGTGAACTTCCCCTCTCGTTTACTACAGCTTCCACTACGAAGGAGTGAAACAACAGCGTATCAGTGTTAGAAGCAAAATTTGGTAAAGCTTAGGCTCGGTAAAGGCTACTAACGGCATCGGCAACCGAGCGAAGGGGTAGGTTACTAACGAAATAAACGTTCTATACGGGTAAACTCCACTTTGAGGTCCAACGGTTCTCAAACGTTTTATATTTTTGGACAGCATTGACTCAACAAACATGTGATCCTGATAAAACGCAGAAATAACTTACCTTCTCCCGCTTTTGTCGACGTGAAAGATCGGCAGCGAGAATTAATTCTTCTCTTATGTATGACAACTTCTAAAGGGTCTGGCTACAACGACAATGTAAAATGTTTGAGGAAAAAAGTGGTAAGGATGCAATACCGCCATGAAACTGCTCTCAGCGGTATCAAAACCGGGGGGTGCTCCAGGAAGTTCTAGATGAGACGGTTCCTGTTGAGATCCGATCCCTTACTCACCTTTACAACTGTAGAAAAGGTATCCTTTTCGTACACTCTCCACAAAATATTTGTGCCTCTTTTGAGCCTACTTTTGATACCAAACCGACAGATTACGATCCTTAAAAAAATCTGTAGTCTGAAAAAGTTCAGTGTAATGGGCGGAGCCTCCCCATTTGAGTCATTTTAGGGAATACCTCACTCCCCCCTTCAAGATAGAAGTGAATCGTTTGGCTGCTTCAAAAACAAATGTTATAGATTAGCTTTCATTCTTGGCCCGAGATGTGAAGGAATACTTCTCTTTGTCTCTCAGGTGGTTGATATTTAGCCGCATCTCCTAATTAACTTACAATACATAGGCCGCATACGCCGCATGGCGAGCGAGGGAAAATAGTCGGTTTATCAATTTTTACTGTTCTGATCAGGCAAGTAACAGGCAACAAAAGGGAATGTATTTACTCACCTTTACAATTAAGAGTCCGAAGCCGTTCGGAACTAAAGAAATATCTGAGTCTTGGTAACGAGTCACATACTTGTTAAACACAGCAGAACACCACCTAAAGAGAAACGGAATGAAATGAAGCGAAAGCTGCCTGCTTTGTATTGGGGAACAAACGATATTTCAATCTCTTGACTAATGCCCGTGGCGTTCAAATAAAACAGACAGAGGTCACGAGGTTTTTTCGTGACTTAGTATCTTATTTTACATGACAAATCAAGTATAACAAATTTCGTTGTTGTTCCAGTTAAGAGGCCTTTCCATCTTGCGTAATTTTGGACTATAGCCATGAATATTATGGTCAGATTTAGCTCAAGGCTTGACCTTCCTAAATAGTTATCCTTCGTAAAGCGGACGCTCACATTTGAACACGGAGTTTTTGTGAGCGAGAAGGATAAACTCGATAGATAAATGGTAAATCGTTTTACTTACGGTTTGTAGTTTTCATTGATTATCGAATCTAACTGTAAATTACAGATCGTGACGTTTGGACTGCTTTGCGCTGCTAAACATTGACTTAGTCAGGCGATGGGGTCGAATGATTACACGTCAACACTTATGTTGCATGATGGGATAATGGTTAGCTGTCATTGGTGCATGAATTTTGGCACGCCGCATTTATATTTAAACCTTTGTTTCCATCGAGATGAATTTAGGGGTGGTTCAAATTATCTTATTTCTCGAGGAACGCAGGCCTCACGCTCCCCCTGCTCGCGAGTAGGATACAAACAGTACTTTCCCTCAGCGGTGCGCGAGTGGAAAAAATCAAGCTGAAAAATCAGCGGTAAAATACACCGTGCACCGCACGAAATTTGATTTTTTTTTTCCAACGACTGACCCTGGAAAGCTGGTTTACTAACTTGGAACAGACTCCCCTCAACAGGTGTCAAACACTACCGGCACCATACAAACGACTCATCCACGACATTAACATTACAAACGAACCGAACAGAACGACCTAACTTCACTAACGGATCCAAACCGACCAATCACGACTGACCTACGCCACTTGAGTCTTACAGCCAACAACATCACGGCAAAACAGACCAATCAGTGTACACGAACCGGACTAAGTACATTCGACTGACAACAACCTTTCACTTGACTCTGATGATGACTTCCGCTCAGGTTGCGAAACGTCAGTCACCACAACCGACAACAGTCCTTCTCAGGACTACACTCACCCGGACGATCAAACTACACTATTACTGTGCTTTTTCTATTAAATATTCTTGACTACAACAGATTATGGTTGGTAGAAGAGGCTGCTATATGGATTAAGAGTTGCTATGAACACTTATGATCCGTAAGCGCTAGGCGCTTATCTACGCACTGCGAACCGATAAGTTTTTAAATAAATATTAAGTATCTAGTGATTTTTAAGATGTGTATGGACTACAGGTCGATCCCGACAGGTTCCTTGCAGCTTTTTTAAAATCCAAAAGAACCGTAAAAAGTTTTTATAGCTAATTCTAATTCTTTTTTTTTTTTTAATCTTTTACTTAACAGATAGAGAAGCCTTGGCTGTGCTGTGTTCTGTTGTGAAGCACGCAGGAAGCGGCTAAGGCACGATAGAAGTGTAGGGAGAAACGCGAGACGTATTCGAGTGTTTCTCCTCACTTCTTGAGTGCTCTAGCCGCTTTCTAAGTGCTTTACGAATCCGTTAAATTCCTTACGCATTACTTTCAATTTTAAAAATAAACTTTATTTCCAAAGCGAAAAACAGTGTCGTCAGCATGCTCTTTACTGTCATAAAGCACACTACAATAAGCCAGTCAGAATCCCCTGTTATAATGGTTCTAATAAGGTACATGAAAAAATTACTCAGTTCTGATTGGTTAAGATAAATGCAGTTTTCAGGTAATTCAATGTAGAAGAGGTTTAATTCAGTGCAAAGAAGTAACAAACCAGACCGAACAATTCCTTGAACTGTTTAGCTGGAATTTGCCCTTTTTTGCGCCTTAAAGATGTGAAATATCATTGTATATAATTGTTTTGATGGTACGCGGTTGTTTTGACCGAACGCGCGGTGTCACTTGTAGGGTTTGAATAGATTATTTTTGCACTTGATCCGCACGCTTTGCTTCTGAATAATTATGATAAGCTATCTCGTACTTTTTTCCATGTATATTATTAAACGTAATCACATAATTTTTCTTTGGCAATTTGGAATAGAGAAGCACTTGTAACTTTTTTTCAAAGATCTCAAATTGCACCCGCCCTCTGGGCTCATGCATATGCAATTTTGTTAATCTTTGAAAAATATTTACTCGTGCTTGTCAAATTCCAAATTGCACTCGAAATCATGTGATTACCTATGCAAATAATCTGATTGGCTGTCCAAGACTAAAGTTGTCAAAAATGTCAAACCATCAAAGTTCACACAGTTCACAAAATTAATAGTTCGGCAGGTCGAATTTAACACTTTTGCCTGAAGTTTTTTCGTCTCTAATACAGAATCTGAAAGTGACTCATATTCAGTGAAATCCGGCCGAATTTTGGCTAATAAAAACACGCATTTTTTTTTCACATGGCAATTAGAAATCAAACTGTTCAAGTGTGTATTTTATCATTGAACGACAGCTGTAGTTACTGGAAAATGAAGATTGCTTGGGATGGCAGCGCCGTAAAACTCGGCTGCAGTGACTGATGTGGCCTTCCACTGAGCGCGCGCTCGTACCGATGACGTAGGCTGCGTTTATTATATATCAACAGTGCACTCGTGTAACGTAAGGCGCGTGCTTTATGGAAATATAATGAACTTGTTCTGACCAATCACAGCGCGCGCATTTCTCGGAACATTTTATAAACTCTTATAAAGCACGCTCTTTCAACCAATGACAGCGCGCGTTATATATGAGAACTTTATTATAAATTTAGTTAATTATTTTTATATGTATTTATCTTATTAGTGAAGAAAGCAATTGTATGATAGAGTTTGCCAGAGTGTTTAAAGTTTAAAACCATTGAACGGATGTTGTTTCAGGCACAAACACATGTAATTTTGAATTTAAGGAAATCTCAGCTTCTCAGGTTTGGAAATAAATGATTAGTGCCTCACTCACAGAAACGTCTGCATTCTTGTAAAATTTTTAGAATTTTGTACAAATTTTAAATTGACATCAAACTCTTGGTACAAACTCCTTAAACCAGCTCTGATATTGTCCAGGGAATCTTTTTTTCTCACGATAAATCTCGGAAATCTCTTCAAAACCAAGAGAATATATTCTCTTGGAAAAACGAATTGCGAAAGCAAAAAACAGGAACACCAGATGTCATTACTCCCAGACCTCTAAACTGGTTTGGTTGCCATGGATTCCATACATCTTCCACGAAAATCTACGAAATGCAATTCTATTATTCAGATTTACATGTAGTCAATTGTTATGAATAAAAATACATTCAATACAGATTTATTGATTTTCGATGTAATCTTTCGGTTTATTGTCGACATAATTCACTGTTAAGCTTAGTCTGCCATGCTTTTCTTCTGGAGAAGATCTGGTTTAAAGCGCCTTTACTGCTGTACATTCCGCTTGATACTGGTTGCCTCAATTTGTCTTTCAATCGGCGTTTTCGTCTTTAATATTCTGCTCGTAAATCAACGTCCAAGCGTTGTGGAAAAGGATGAAGAAAGTGTCCTCTCAGAAAAGTTAGACGAAACTCCAAAGTTCTTCGAAGACAAAAGTGAAAAAATCCCAGTCCTCGCGCAACCGAAGAAAAAGCGACAAAATCTTATAATTGTGGCACATGGTCGATCGGGGTCCACGTTTTTGGGAAACATTTTTAACAATCATCCATCAGTATTTTATCTGTTTGAGCCTTACCAAACAGTTGAAAGACTGGTTGCTTTCCAGCCAAAAAACAGCCAAGAATATCATGACTTAGCCTTCAGCTGGATGAAAGGTATTTTCCAATGCAATTTTGTGTCCTCAAGGCACGTAGCCGATCTTCAGTCGTATTATCGCAAAGAGTATCCGTCAAACTACAACCCGTTCAAAAGCTTGACACTTCTTCAACCGCCATTTTGTATTTATAACACGACAGATCCTCGATGGAGTTTAGAAAGTTGTCCTCCACTCGACCAAGGTACTATGGAAGACTCTTGTCGGACACAACATAGTGTGACCGTGGTGAAAGTTTTGATATCGAGAATGCCTGATACAAATCTAAAACAGTTGCTGACAATTTGTGACACGGATCAATTTGACTGTAAGTTCATCTTTCTCGTTCGAGATCCACGAGGAATCATCCCTTCTTCGAAAGCTGTCGGGTTTTATGGTGATAATGACAAAGTTCTATTGAACGGAACACAGAGGTTTAGCCAAGAGGTTTGTGGTGCCACGTACAAAAATCTGAACATTATTCGATTCTTGCAGGCACAAATGAAAAAACGATTTATGTTATTGCGATACGAAGATTTAGCTGTGAACCCTTTGGAAATGCTACCAAAATTGCTGGAATTTGCAGGGCTGCCAGAAGACGAAAGCTTAACAAGATGGCTGTACCTCGCGTCTCATTCGCCTGAAACGAAGAGTGAACAGTCTGCAGCAAGGTGGCGGCAAGATTCCAAAGAGGGCGCCGAAAGATGGCGTTGGAAAGTAAAGTCGTCAATTATCTCTGTCATAGAGCATTACTGCAAGGACGTAATGGAGACTCTTGGGTATATACCTGTAAATGGCTCCTACCAGGTCCAAAAAAATCTTACAATCAGCCTGCTTGAAGAATATTACGACGCGTTACATTGGTTTCAATAAAAGCACCAAATATGCATCCTCATACGACTACTACGTATAAAGTTTAATGGCAACCATTAAATTCTCAAGTTTGAAAAGCAAAAATAATTCTTATATTTATGAATTTTTTATATTTTTATATACATTTACTCATATATTTTTCATATTTTTATATATTTTTTTTCCGGTCAATTTTCCACCTAACCGTTCGTGACACCCGCCGCTATCGTTGAAATTAAACGGACACGTTTCGCATCATCGAGGCTATTTCCAAATTTTTGTCGAAATCTTCGAAATTTTTTCTGCAACTTTAAAAAGATATAGATTAGGAATTAGATCGATACTTTTTTTTTGTTCAAACATATCAACGATATGATTGGCTGAACAACAAATGCTTGTGTAATTTCGTCGCGTAGATTCTTTTTAAGGCCCGAAAGAATGTTTTAGCTAACGTGGTTTTATCTTTAGAGCTTAGCACTTCACGAAAAAAACAAAAACACCATTAAACTCGAATTTAAATCGAAATTTCACCCACCTTCCGACAATTCTGTGGTCAAAACCCGGAAATATGTACACTAAACATATTTCTCGATATCAAAAAAATTGAAAAGAAAAAAATTGTTTGTCTCTCTATAAGGACAGTTAGTGAACTGCAAAATCAGGCCAGGAAACATCGAAAAAAGAGAATTATTCCGGTAAAATTTAATGCGACAGGAATCAGAAAGAGCTTTCGTTTCGGTAAATTTTAGAGAATAATTTAGAAATCCAGAGATTTGAGGCGTTTTTCTTTCAAGCTGGGAAATTGCTTGGTTATGTAAACTTTAAGGGATTCAACTCTAGTCGATATCCACATATCTGAAACGAACAAACATAGGATTCAGTCAAATTTGCTCCATTCACAAAAATTAATTTTAAATAATCAACAGTATACTTCTTTAGCCTGCCATTGAATGACACAGTTATCGCAGAAATATGCATTTCACTCACACATCATCAGTGACCTACAGTTTTCATCCCTTATAAGAGAGTGGGAAACGTGATATTTCATTTGTTGACACAACTGCACTATGTTTGAACGTCACATCGTTCCCAGAGTCCTCTGCGAGAGTATACAGATGATATTCAATTTGATCACGCGAGTGCATTTCTCTTCTTTAGCTTCTGTAGAGGGAGAAAGAGAGAGGAAGCTGGGAACAAGGCATGTGAGTGGTTATTTGCGCGCGAAAAGTTGGACGCTGGGAAACCACCAATCATTGGCCAGAGTTTGATCCTGGAGAAAATCTAGGAGAGACATGACACCATAAAGGGGCTTTATATCTCTAAGGGATCGGTCATTATTTATCGCCTGGGGGAGGGGGGGTGGGAATTAGCGGATTTTGGTTATGCCACTGTAAAATCAGGTCGCTTGATCAGAAACTTCTAGCTCGGACGTGCATCATTTCAAATTTGACTGGATTGAAATTCAAACTTTAAACACCCTGCAGGACTCCGAAGGATAGAGAAGTAATGCCTTGAAAAATGATGTTTTGAGCCACTGATCTCCCTGAGCCTCCTTGAAAACCAATTTAAAACTAAGCATACCACAGGTCTTTTGAATAATATAACTTGTTTATCATGACGAGTGTTATTTCTAGGTCAGTGAAGGAATATTTTTCATGGATAATATCCGTAATTAGCATATACCACACAGGTGAAGTGGGCTTTTCGTGTGCGCTGATTGGCTAGTTTGGAAGTGACTAGCAAGTTCTACTCTCCTCCGAGCAGGCGAAGAGACAAAATGACGCGTGGAGAGTTTAATTTCGACCACATTTTGGTGTGTTAACAGAAAAAGAAAGATTACTTTTTTCGGTTTTAGTGTGGCATGTTTCAAAACAATTATTCACTTCAGTGTCGGTGATTAATTTTCAATTTTAACGCTTTGGGGATACTGGAAAGAAAAGAAATCACATCGATCACATGTCTATCAAGTGCTGTCAGGTGACAGGTGATGCATTGTGGGATTTGACGCAAAACGTGAAGTTTGCCATGTTGTATCATTTCTTTAACTTTTCTTGTAATGTGTTACTAAAACAGCTGAAATTTTGAAAAATGTACAACAACATCGGTTTGCAGACTGCCCGTGGGTCAGGCACGAACGGCTATGTGCAAAGGAACTTGTCTCTTCTTCGTAGTAGGAAGGATAAAATCGAGTACCACACTAATGAGGATCTTGCCAAATTGGAACAAATGAACACGAAAAAACCAAATCAAGAGATCTTAGAGCACGAAAGGAAACGACAGATTGAGCTTAAGTGTATCGAGCTACAAGAAGTAATGGAAGAACAAGGGTGAGTGTTAAGACCGAGCGGAATTCTGCTATTTAACACGGTTGTAATTTTGTTGACTGCCAAATTGAAGACTGTGCCTGATAGTTTGATTTTAAGCTGCTTACTCCTCTTACCCGGTCGGGTGTCTGTAGTCTTTTATCAGGTTACTGAGTGAAGTGGTTTAAGTATTTATTGTCCGTGGTATCATAGCGATGAAGTTTGTAATACTACGCGTGTTGTAAACATATTTGGAAATTAAGAACTCAGGCGAAATTCGCATCTTCTGTAACATGGCAAGTCATGTTAACAGATTTTCTCGAAATTCAAACAAAAATTCAAAGGAAGGTAACCAAATTTGCTCGTACGTCCTAGAAACTTGATGTCGTAGCAAACAGGAAATGTGATGCAAATTCTGTGGCGTATTTTGGTACTAATTATAGCTGCGACATCTTGGTTTGAACAGTTGGTCAAAGCTTTGCAGATGTCTTCTACTTGCATGATTCATACAGCATGTCACTGAAGAATGACAGCCTCACAGTTATCCTTACCCAAAGGTTTTATGTAGTGCTGTACACAGTGGGTTATTTACACTTGCAAATTTAACAATAAACAATATTTATTACTAATGAATTAAGGGGAAAGTTTTTTAAAGAAACTGCAGTGCTTTGTGAGTAGGAGAGTATAACAACTGAGTTGAGAACATAAATTGGCCACCCTAAAGAGTTTCAAAGCTGACATTTCAAACATTAGCCCTTCATCAGAGCAAATAGAGGAATTGTGGATTGTGTGTGTGTTTAAAGGCAGAAAATGGAGTTACACTATTGGTAGGGACAGTGTAACAAGAAAAACAAGAGTGGATTATTTGAATGAAAAGCATTCATTCATACATTGGGAATCAATAGTGCAGATTTGAAAGACAAATTTTTGTAATCAAGTTTTGTGGCGACTGATTCTGAGAACACCTTTATGACGTAGAAAGGAACAACAAAGGTACATCTGAACCAGTACTAAGACACTTTAATCTCCCTATTTATTCTAAGCAGCATATAACAATCTGCAGCTTTTCCTTGTATCTAGACAGTTTGGAAAGCCACAAAGCTTTATAAGAAAAACTTATCTTTCAATTCTACACTCTTAATCCCTATGGTGTCAGCAAACACTAAAATATGCAAAAGACTTAAGTTGAGTGCCAGTTGATTTTTGTTTCCCATAAACTTAGTTTGATCTGAAGCTAGTTAAGTGTGCCATCTTAAACAAATAAACCATACAACTCTTTGTTCATTTTTTTTTGCATAATGAACGGTCTTCCTATTCACTCCCACAGCTTAAATCCTAATTACCTTATATAACAAATTGGTTGTTAGCAGTTAAATATAAGTTATAAAGAAAAAAATGGAAAAGAAGAGCAGACCCTCTCATATTAATGACTATTTTGTTTTTCTCTGCCTGATTTACAGATATAATGACAGTGAAATAGAAACCAAGGTTGAAGAGTTGCGCTGCATTCTCTCTGAACAATCAGGCATTGGGTCCAAGAACAACAAAGAAGGAAAGCCCACGTAAGTGCATATTTGTGTATAGCCTCATTACTCCAATTTTTTTCTATTTTCAGCTGGGTCTGCAGTAAGAGATTGCAGTGAATTTCAAATGTAGAATTCTTCCTCTCCTTTATTTTTTTCAGGAACATACATGATGCAACTGGTATAGTTTATTATTATGATATGATTTGATTCAACATGAATTACAGCTTGTTTTTAAAAAGTTGTGTTTTGTTTTTGTCATTGACTGTGAATATATGAAAATCATATATGGGAACTGCAGATAAATAAGTGAATATGAAAGTGAGCTTGGCAGTTATGAACACTACTGTACTATTGGTGAAGTAGTATTCATAACTGCAGGTCACTCTGATATTCCTTTTTGTCACTGATTACATGTAAACCTCTTCAGGACCTGGCAAATGCAGAGACATTTTGATTCTTTTTTTCATTAGACTGTTGAGTATATATAATTGTTTCTTCTTATGTCTACATCCATAAAACTGTCCCCAATAATGAGGTAGCACTTATTTTATACCTACCTTCTTGTATGAAGCCACATTTTTGCACCTTATAATTTGAGATCTTTTAGCCTTTTCTTATGGTTTCCTCAATGTCAATATCTTGTATATAAAAGAATACCTTTGAATGTACTTTTAATTAATTTACTTGAAACTTTTTTTGTCCCTTCTTCCCTTCCTTCACTTTAACTTTCCATTTTCCATCAGGCTCTATTTTTTTCAGAGGCATTTGTTTCTTCATGTCAACTTTTTCTGCTTAATTTTTGGTACTGTATTGTTAGGAGCTTTCATGTAATGAAGTTCTAATTGATGAATTATTGTTCTATCATTCTTGAGGTATACTTTTTCATACTCATTCTTTGTTTATGTTTTAGCATGTAGAAAGGTAAGGTCCATGTGAGCTCTGACATTAATGAATTACAACCATAACCCAAAGGTTGTAAAATGTTCTTGTGAACAAGTTACAGTGAAGTTTACATATTTGCTATGTTCATGTACAAAATATTTTTATCTGAGAATCATTACCATGACAGAGTGCTTGTCAATTGAGGGTTGTAAAAACCTAAACCAACGTAATCACTGCAGCCAGTCAGAAGAAAGGAAAATAATTAAAGAGTCTGTGAGAGATGACAGTTAACTCTTTCACTCCCAAGATCTGATCAGTAATTCTCCTTACCATCTGCCACACAATTCTTATGATACCAGTTGAGAATTTGCCATTGGATCAACTAATAATCTCCTTATTGATTATTTATTCTCATCACTTGTGTGCTTGATCCATAGTCATATTTTAAGGAGAAATTCTGTCTTGGTCACTATGGGGAGTGAAAAGGTTAAAACAAGTTAATTTTTGGTTGGTTGAAAGGATTGTGCAAGATTTATCGCCAAACCATAGAGCAAAACTAGGCAAAACTGTTGAAATCCTTGATAACTTTTAACACTCAACTGAAAAGTACATTATTAACATCTGTTTCAGTTTTATATATAAGTATGGTAGTCATGATGCCTAATTTTTTTAGTGTTACAGAAACACATCAGATGGCAGAAGCTAATGAGCAGAAGAATGCTAAACTGAAAGAAGCTCTTGGAATTAAAGAGGATTACAAAGATGGCTCGTCATTTGATCAAGAACTGAAGGCAGCTCAAAGAGCTTCTGAGCAGTCAGCCAAGGCAGCAAAACAAAAAGAGCTGGAGAAGCAGAGAGAGAAGGAGCAAAGTAGAAGGTAAGAATCTAACACAACCTAACAAGCCAAATTGGAGTTCTGAAAATACATGCACACACATTGGGATTGAAACTTGTAAACCACATCAAGTTAGCCTTGGAAGACTAGAAGGAAAAAAAATTGATTGGAAAAATGATGTCGCTGAGAAAATTCTTGACTCATTAGGGTTTGCATGTTTTTATCCTCACATGTGCAAGTGTTTCTTTTTTGTGCCCCAGTTCAACCTCTCCAGTCAGCATTGTGCAGTGTTGAACTGGGAACTGTTGGGATTTGAGCATTGGGGTTTACGAATCAGTGTTACAGAGAGCATTGAGTGTAGGGGCATTTTTTAGTGTGTTTATGTGTCTCGCAAAATCTAAGTCTCTTCAAAAGAATTCCAGTATGAGAATGCCCTTTAGTTTTGAAAAGAGCTAAACAATTAAATTAAACACACTTGTTTATTTACTAAATAACAACAATCTAACTATTAATAGTAAGCAATCACAAGAGTAAACTTGAAAAGAAAGTTAGTGTGATTTTAAGTTCAGCCAGTTCACTGTTTCATCATATGTTCATTTTGAGATGACACCAACCATTTTTCAATATATATATTCTTATTAAAAATTCTGTTATCTGAGAACAATTATAGACTTGTGGTGGCCTAGTAAAGATAAATTTTGAGGCATCATTGTGGTCATTTATAAAAATAAAGTTTGATAAGCCTGGGAAATAGAAAATCATTTGAATCAATAGAAAAATGGTGTATCTCCTTGTAACATTAGTTTACAGGATGATGAGGAACAATTTTTTTTTCATGGCACCATGACCTACTGAATGTTTGGTTCCTTAAAAATTAAAATCAGTTTGTTGCAGTTAAGTTGTTATACAAGGAAACACATAATTATGTCCCATGATACTGCATAGTACCTTAGATCCAGTTTTTGTTGTCTTGTTGTCTTGTAAATGTTTCTTTTTGCTGTAAATAGTGTTTTATTTAAAATTTTTGTTGAATGTTATCAACCTACAGGAAAATTATTACTTTTGCAACTTACTTGTAACTTGTACTTTGCTTATGTTTTAATCATAATTTTGTTATTATGATGTTTATTCAAGCCAGATAGGTAAGTAAACACGAGATCTGTTCATACATATACAGCTGTTTTGAGAAAGGTTTGCAGAAAATAGGACAAAGCGCATGTGATAATCTCTAAAGGTAATCTGGATATCTGGTAATCAATGAATTCTTCAAATGTCCTATGCATTGTCCTTACAGTGATGTTTTCTCATGATTTTCCTGAAAACTCTTTACATTACTTTTTGGGGTTGTCATGTGCGCTTTTCTGCTTTTTTTTTATAAACAACCTTTCCAGAAGCAGCTGGTTTTTGAGTGTGGGTTGGGTTGGGTTGGTTCAGGTGCAGAGGTTTAAGAATGTGGACTGAGACAGCCTGGGCTTCATTGGATGGAGCAGCAGAGAGTTATTGAGCAGCCCTCTAGTAAGAGTGTGTTAAGGAAACCAAACATTCAGTGGTCATGCCTTTTTTACACAATTAGTTGTTAAACACATTAGAGAAGGATTGAGGAAGAACTTTTGTCTACAAACTCAGTCTTAATGATGTTCTTGATTTTCTATTTCCCAACACTGTAGCTAGACTACTTGTATTTGCTCATTTGTTCTCAAGTTTCATTTTGGCTCAGGCAGGTAAGGCCAGTGGTCTTAAGATTTTCTTATGTTATTGCTGCTAAAACCTGTAAGACTTAATCATTATTATTAATTTTATCATAACTATTACTAGTATGATTATTATGAATTATTTTAACAAGAATCATTGTAGATAATTTTATTAGTTTTGCACAAAATGTGAACAACTTGAAGTGAAACACTTGGGAATTTGTCTGTTTTAGTTGCTTCTAATAATCATTCAAACATAATATAAAACAAATTCTTGTTAGTGTCACACTTACAAACATGTGGATTTAAAGACCAGTTCAATAATCCCAAAATGTTTGGCAGTACTACAAATATACTCTTTCTGATCTGAAAATTGATAACTTACCCAATTCTGTAAGTTTGCCTTGATTAACTTTTGAATGGCCAGATACCCAGAGGTTTCAAAACAAGCCAGTGACTGCCATAGTTCTGCTGTCTACTCGATAATAGACGTCAGTTACTCTGGTCAAAGTAATTACCCTTTGGCCCTTAACCCTTCAACTCCCAGATCAAATTTGTAATTCTCCTCATTGTCAACCATACAATTCTTATAATGTTAGTTCAGAGAATTTAGTTTTGGATCATCTAATCCCCAAATTGATATTTTTCTTATTCTCATCACTTATCAGGTTGATATTACATTGACACTGTAAGGAGAAATTCTGTCTTGGTCACTCATGGGAGTTAAAGGGTTAATGAACTTTTTCCAGTCACTTGCATTTGCAGAATCCGACACTCAGATATCAATTGTGTTATATTAGTTTTACTAATTATTATCTCTTTATAGAGCAAAGGAGGAATCGCCACCAAAGAAGAAAAAGAGAAAGCGTACTCCTGTGTCTGAGTCTTCAGATGAGAGGAGTCGCTCAGACAGGTATGGTTTGGAACACAAACTTTAAGTTTTAACTTTGTAACTAACAAGATCTGATTGTTAATTCTCCCCTTTAGCTGCTACACACCTCCTTTTAAATTAGTTAGGAGAATTTGGTGTTAAATCAAGATAACAACTTTGACCTGATAAGTTTGAATATTCTCATTATGTGTTACCTTGATATTGTGCGGATATGAAAGGGAGAAGTTACATATTAATCACTTCTGAGAGTTAAAGGGTTAATGTTTTTGTGAGTATGAGGAGGCTATTGGCTGCTGCTGGCCCAGACAAAATCTTTTTATGTTTAGGTAATCAGCTGTAGCTTCTTTTTTTCAAGGTTTAGCTGAGGAGTTTTTTTTTTTTTTTTTTTTTTTTTTTTAAGGGTTACAAGCTACAGCAGTAGCTGTTTGGGATTTGACAGTGAATCTTTGGGCAAACAAAATTTAAAAGAGCAGTGTACAAACAAAACCTCTTTTATTCCATAACTGAAAAGCTATAATTTACAAATGCATTGATGATGATGGCAGATTCTTCTTAGTGGGAAGATCAGTGGGAAGAAATAGCCTTAGACCTGAATTGGTGTAATTAAGAAATATTAAACATCTAAGATTGGGAAGGATTATGAAGAAACCTCATATTTTCCTCTTATTAACAGGTTATACTGCGATATGTTTATGCACAACTAATGGTAGTATTTGCAATGTATCTGATGTTGTAAATTTTGAATCATTTTCACTGCATGTATTAACAATGTAAGCAAATTGAGAACCATAGATCTAATATGAAGCAAATCAATTCTGTTGTCCTCACTCTGATACTGAAAGGAAGCATGTTCCTTTAGATCTTGGGTCAGAATGAGATGATATTGGGTGTAGGAAACATATACCCTAGATTCTGAAATCAGGGGGCATCTGCTAAATCTCTTTCAAAAAAAGAATTGTAAACTGCTCAATGCAGTCTGACCAAAGTCCCCTGCAAAGTGTTGTATGGCACATTTGATCTTATATTTAGATGTTAATTTCCTGATAAGTAATAAATTATTATTATTATTATAATTATTATTATTATTATTATCATTATCATTATTATATACATGACTGCATGCCTAGAGCTATTTATGTACACTTCTATACTTAACAACGTCAGGAAATGTGTGCAAAATGAAAGGGAGAAAGCAATTATAATTAAGGGTCAAGCAGAAAAATGATGCTGGCCAGTGGTCTGCAATTTTAGCAATTGTAGAGAAGAAGCCTGGAAAAAATTAAGGTTTTGACAGGATTAGAACCCAGGCCTCCCAGATACTTGATGGGTGCTATTACCAGCTGAGCTACAAAGCAGCATGTCGAGAGGAAGGAAAATTTTTTAGAGAATTCTTCTTCATAATTATAACTAAATGTCTTTGAAAGAAATCAGACTTTTGAGAAGCTGTTGATTGGATTGCTACAAGGCTAACAGATTCTTTTGTGCAGTTTAGCCTTATCTTATGGTCTGTTTATAGGAGTCTGGTTTACAGGGTAGTTGCACCCCAAGAAATATGTCATCTCGCATGTTTAAATCTGATTGCTTGCAGGATGTTTACCTAATGAAGAATCAATTGATGAGGTTACTGTTAACACTGGCATTGTTTTTATGTCTTGCAGTTCTGAGAACAAGTCTGAGAGGGAGTCCTCACCAGTCAGACGCAAAAAAAAGAAAAAGCGCAAAGAAAGGACACCAGAAGAAAGGTAACTTCACTGCAGACTGGGCTCAGTGCAACAGCACTGCATCTGCAGTGACGTCTGATAACAGACTTTCTTTCATGGAATCAGTAAATTCAACTTGTTATTTGGTAATCATAGTTGTTTTTCAAGCAGGGAATGGGGGGTAAGAATGGGTTCACTGTTAGTCCTTTGTTCAAAAACTGAGACTGGGAAGAATTTCTTAAGGGGAAACTTTTTTTTACTGTAGGTAAAGCATTGCAGGTAAGAAAAATGTTAACCATCTGTTGTTGAATTGATGTTGACATTGAATTGCAATTTTTTTCTTTATCTATTTGTATAGATACATGTAAACCACAGGCTGTCTATTAGAGAGAAATGAAAGCTAAAAGGAAAACTAAACAATCTTGCCTTAATTCTAATTATTTTTCTTGTTTTGTTGGCTTTTTTTTTTTCAAAATTTCTCTAGTTCTTCAGAGTCTGAGTCAGACAGTCGAAAATCAAGAAAGAAGAGGAGAGACAAAGATAGAAGGTGTGCTATTGTTTTCTTCACATGTTATGGAATTTTCTTGCCATGAATAATATTTCTCTGGGAAAACGTTTTATTGCTATAGTACAATTTTAGTTGGTGTTGATGTACATGTAGTTGTTACTGGTGGTGTTATTTTTGTTTGTTTGTTTTCCACTGGCTTTGATACTCTATTTTTTTATTGCAAGTACATCAGTGACTTAGATTTAGGAATTTATTGTTCTGGTAGATCTGGTGTATTTTTTAAGGGGTGAGCTAATCATTGGCGTTAAACTGTTGTGACTTTTTGTTTGTTTGTTGAGTATGTTATTTGCAGTCCAAGATACAATAAATATTCTCAAGTGTCCTTTGTAACATCTACGTCACAAGGTGAAAAAACTGTAGCACAAATGTTATAATGATCATAAAAATGTATTTAAAATATAGAATGAGTAAAAAAAAATGTTAGATAATAAAAATATGATTTCAGGATCGAAACTCTAGTAACCGTCTCGGTGGTGTTATTTGTGACGTGTTCTGGTGATTTTCTGTTCTTAGCGATGATGGTCGCAAACGTTCCCGTAAAGCTGAGAGCCCAGATAAAAACCGCAAGTCTCGAAAGAAAGACAAGGAAGAAAAAGCAGCCAAGCAAAAGGAGAGACACGTCAGTTCAGAGGATGAAAAGCCACGAAGAAGACAAAGAAAAGATTCAGAAAGGTAACATGGTGTTAAAACATCAGTATGCAAGTTCTCCATACTGTTCTCTGTACATTTTCTATGGTATTTGTAAGGAGAATTTGTCTAACATTCAAGAGCTTCTTGAGTTCGAAATCATTTCCGTTATTCTCATGAACTTACTGCTTGCTTCAGTGGAAACACTGTTGGGAGAAATTAGATGTTTGTCACTCTTAGGGTTAAAGAGTTAATCTGTGCCGTGTTACTCTGCCGTTTATGGTTGAGCAGCCCTGGATGATAACTGCGAACGGTGAACTAAAGTAAAAGGACTCTAGATCTCTTTTAAGGTGGTGGTTCTTACGCATGCAAAATTCTGTTAGTTTTGACAGTCAATTTTAGTTTGGTTTTTGCAACCTACGTTGACATGGGCGTGGTTTTGTCGAATGCACTGGATTTGCATTATTTAAATTCTGTTCAGTATTCCCTACTCTTACCTGAGCCTCACCGCTTTAAGAAATATATAATATATTTACATTGTTTTTTGCAACTTAACAGTAGTTCAGAGAGTGAAAGCCCTCCAAGGCGTGACAAGAGGAAGCAACAGAGAAAGGATAAAACAAAAAGAAATGACCATCGTAGTCCATCAACGGACAAAGAAAATGTCCCAAGACTCCAACGCAATAGATCCCCGTCTCCAGATAATTCCTCCCCTGAAAAAGTTAAATCTCGTCGACAGCAACATCTTGACAAGTCTGATACGAGAAGAGAAAGGAAAATGCGAGATGAACATGAAAATCGACAAAATGAAGAACGTGTGAGACAAGAACGTGACCGCGAGGAACGTGACGATCGTGCGCGTTACGATCGATCACGTGCAGAACGGGATCACTCACCCGATGATCGCGTGCGCGGGGAGCGTGTAAGGCTACGTCGTAGTGGAAATGGAGATCGACAATCTCCAGAGAAAGATCGGTCATTGTCTGAGAATGGTGTTCGTGAAAGGCAGCAGCGTCGTGTTGATCGGTCGAGCTCTGCAGAAAAATCATCTGAGGTAAGAAAGAAGAGAAAGCAGCGGGACGCACGAAGCTCTTCTGAAGAACGGTCGGAAGGACGACGTGAACCTGATGAAGAAAGGCCTGAAACAAGGCGTCGAAAGTCGAGTCCCATCCCTGAGCAGTCAAGAATCACAACCAGGAAGGAAGATTCTCGTGAGAGAGAAGAAAACCGTCGACCACAACAGAGGGAAAACTTTAACTCCAGAAATGGCGACAGCAAGGCGAGTGGCCGAATGCGACGTGATATTACTCCCGAGGACAGAAACCGGCGACGTAGTTCATCAAGAGAAGATAGAAGGAATCGAAAAAAACAGTCGCCTTCTCCTGACGATAGGCAGCGCGTAGAAGGTATACGAAGAAGCCGCAACCAAGAGCGCTCTGAGAGTCCTCCGAAAGAGACCCGACGGAGGACCAGACAGTCTGCATCGCCATCTCCTGATGCAAGGAGGCAAAGAGGAAGGTTACCCAGCGAGTCTCCTCCTCCTCCTCCACCAAAAGTGGCTGCTAGCAAGAAGAAAGAAGTACCAAGTGATAGCCAAAAGAAAGTGAAACGAACGACAAAGAGTAAGGCCCAAGAGAAACGGTCCAGTTCAGAAGAGAGTTCTTCTAGTAGTTCGTCCGAATCTGCGTCAGAGTCCGAGGACGGATCATCGCATAGCAGCCGTGTGTCACCTGTGCTGACCAAGCACAAGTCATCGCCTGATACAAGTGAACAAAGAACTCAAAAGAAGAGGCCTTCTCCGTCACCTCGCCGTGCTAGTCCCAGTCCTTCACCCGTGAAACAATCCAGGCGGTCTTCAGATAAAGCTGCACCTCCAAGACGACGAAAACCTAGTAGAACCCCAAGCCCACCGCCTGCGCGTCGAAGGTCCCCAGCGAGTCCACCCCCAGCACGTAGGGTATCTCGAAGCCCACCCCCAGTACGTAGAAGGTCGTCCCCGAGCCCGCCCCCTGTAAGGAGAAGGCTGTCTCCAAGTCCTCTTCGTTCTAAGCCTATGAGACGAAACCGAAGTAGAAGTAGATCGGAAGAAAGATCAAGAAGAGATCGATCAGTGAGCCCCAAATCTGCGAGGAGGCGTAGTCAAAGCCCAAGGCATTCGCCTTCCCCTGCTTTACAACCTCGGCGGCGGCGTCCTTCTAGAAGTGTAACTCCCCCAAGACCCACCAGAAAGCCCAGTTCGTCACCTCCTCGAAGTCAACCTGCACGAGGCTCCAATCAGCGCCGAAGAAGAAGCGTCAGTCGCAGTCCTCGGCGTTCCCCACCTACCCAGTTCCGCAGGCGTCGACCTTCTAGAAGCCTGAGCCCACCAAAACCCAAAAGAAGCCCAAGCCCTATCAGAAGGCGCAGGTCAAGAAGCCCGGCTCCTGCTGGAGGCTCTTATCGGCGTCAAAGTAGAAGCCCTTCGAGAAGCCCAAGTCGTGGTCCAAGGCGCTCTCCGCCCAAGCAAACGCGGAAGCGTAGACAGTCCAGAAGTGTAACCCCGCCAAGAAATCGACCGGCGCCAAAAAAATCTCCTGCTCGAGATAGTCCTGTTCAAAGGCGCAGCCGAACTCCTAGTGCGTCGCCTGTTCGTAGAAAGGACAAAGTGACGGAACACGAGTCATCTCCTGTTCAGGCAAGAGGTCGAGATACACGTGAATCGGCGGAGAGGAGTAGCCAGGAACCTCCGCGTAAAAGGTACAAGTGATGTATTAAAAATTATGACTGATGAAATACCTTTAACACGATAGTTTGCTTAAATTTACGTTAAGTTCAAGCCGTCAGTTATACCTGTTTGATCAACTCGACAATTGCGCCAGGTTAAAGGAACTGGCGCTTTGGAAGAAGCAACTGTTTTCCTCGCTGCCATCCAGAACGAAAAGTGGAAACACGAATATTTCGGCTTTTTCAAATGTGAAAGACTTATTGTCTTCATTAACGACGTCATACAACACAAAATTAGCTCTACTGATTGGGTGCTTAAATGGAGGTTCGGAAAAATTACGCACCTACGCGGGGACGTTGGGTCTATGTCGCAAAATCGTGACGTTGGGGGGGTGGACCTTTTTGTTTATGTTTGCATCTTACTTTTGATGTTTGAAAGGACTAGTAGTGACGTCTAGAAATTTGCAAACGTTGCTGTTTGGTCTTGTCACGCAACGGTTCTTCTCTCTTGTTTCCGTGACAAGACGAAACAACGGCTGCGAATTACATTGAAATTAGCTTCTCCTTGAACGAGGTCGTCTTTATTGAAACTGTTTTTCTTGGCATTTTAGAGTGGCTCAAGAGAAAAACCAGAAGATTGAGGTGGCGAAGCCAAGTAAAACGAAAAACGCAGAAAGCCGATCCCGGAAGAAAAGCAGTAGCGAAAGTGGAAGCGAAAGTAGCTCAGAAAGCCAGAGTAGTGACAGTGAAAGTAGTGAAGACAGTAGTAGTGGATCGAGCAGCAGTGACGAGGAGTCTGGGTCCAACAGCAGTAGTTCCTCTGACGTTAAGCAAAGGCGATAAGCGGTGGTTTCGTTCAAAGGGGTTGAACATGCAGCTTATGTTAACCAATAGACAGGTGGCACATAGAGTATGCACAGTTGTAATTAAGGCAGTTTTTTTTGCCGTTGACTGTTTCTCTCTCAGATAGTTTTTTATCCTACGTGTGGATTCGTTACTTTCGTAGACAAAGTTGCCGGGAAATTTGACCGAGCTGACCCCACCTTTTACGGAGAACCTTGTGCTGTTCTCTGATTGGACAATTTGGAATTCCGAACGAAGCTTTACTTGTTCGGCTCTCTGTTAGTGAATTTACTTTTAAACAGTTGGTAGTTACCTCGAATTTTGCGATGTTTACTAGGATTAAGTCTGAGTTTTACTTTGGGAATATCGCAACATTGATAATTTACTAGCTTCCCCTGTTTTTTTCCTTGTTTTGAAATGAATGTCAGCAGACATCCCCAGAGAACAGACCCTTAGTTGAGAAACTTACCAAAATGGGTTGTAACAGTACTTTGATGTGAACTAGAGTCTTTCCTGAGGCAACTAGAATACTGGCAAAAAGCAGATTTCGACTTCATCAAAAGGAATTGAAACGAAAGCTTAAGCTTTTACACGATTTTTTTACTGTATATGGAATATCCGAGAGCCACTCCTGTTAGAAAATCCGTACTCTTAGAATCATAGCGAAATAAACAGTGTTTTTCACTTGTCTTGTGTCAGCATATCTGTTTTTACTTGCATGTATCCCGTTCTCTATCTGAAAGTACGTCTTAAAGCGTGAAATTGAGTATCGTATGGGTCAACTCCTTCCCAGTGACAGAAAGGAACTCACCGACCAGACAATTTATGCAATAAAGTGACACGAGTGGATTTTTTTTAACCTTTCAGACACCGTTGTCTTGGCTCGCAGCAGGACAAATTTTTGTGATGCGTGAGATCTGACAGATGTTTTAATCCACATGCAAAGATTTGAAGGAGAACGTCAATCAAGGAAATTTGAACTGCGAATCTTTTAGGCAGAAGCTTGCATAAATGTTTACATTTTAAGCAACAATCAAATGGTAAAGATGGAAAATTCGTACTTCGGGATGTTGCATGACAATCAGTACTCAGGGTACTGAATTAGTTCCAGCCGTATCTCTAGATCCAAGTACTGTTTAATTTGTAAATCCATGTGATTGACACTTTGTGGTCAACAAATATTTAGCTGTTTTTCAGTGCGCCCACGTTTGACAAATTATCAATTTAGCGAAGGGAAATGTGCAGATTTTCGAGAAAACAAATTTTGTCAGCCTTGTGCATCCGGGCTTTTTGCCCTAAATCTCTCATTTGTGTGGTTTAACTGAGTTTAAGGTCTTTGCTAAGAGCAGATAGAGTGAATAGGGAGCATGCTGTTGTCTTCTTAGAGGTGGAAGTGGTAGAGAAATAAATTGTCAACGAGGATGGTCAGATGTATCATAGGTCTTGTTTAACACCCCCGCCCACTCCCCTTCAGCTTAGTAACCTGGTACTCTCAATGAATAGCGGCCATCGCGATATGCGCGTTGTAAATCCTTCTAGTTTTTGTCATTGATTCGTTAAAGCTGTGGATTCATCAAGTTTTTCTAAAGAAAATGTTGACTGCGCTGGGTCACATCCAGCTGCTGCGCTTTGTCGGCCCAGCTGTTGTTGTTTTTGGTGTTGCACCGTATTACTTAATAACTTGGCTTGCATGGCGACTCGCTTCACTGCCTCTGTCTAGGCGCGTCTTCGAACGAGGAGATGAGATTATGTACGACTCGTATCAATCGCTTATCTGCTTCTTCTTTGAGACCTTAACGGGAGCTGAGGTGAGGCAATATTATGAATGTTGTTAGGAGATATTTCAAGTGAACGCGGAGTCTCGACACCACGTGGGTTGGTGCACCGTAAGGTGTATTCCGAGAGTGTGAAAACATGTAATTCCTGATTATTTCTATCGCTGCTTGAATCCTTTTCTCTATCCCTCTGTAGTTTTTTCATTCTGCCGTGAACATGAGTGACTCCTTCAGTGGTATGAAATGCTTGAAGGGTTCACGAGGGCGTTGAGGTTGTGGAGGAGAAAGAGTGCATACATGTCCACCATTGTACAGTTTCCATCTTTTCATAATTGTAGGAATACTTTCTATAGCTATAGCAAACCTTTGGAGGGAATGAGGAATGTGGCTGATTCCCGAAATGAGGGACAGCAAGTTAGCTGAAACACTCACATGTCTTTCAAGAGTATGAATGGGGTGATTCCTGATGAATCCCATGGCTACTCAGAACTTGCCCTGCCCTGCCCTGCCCTCTTTTTCTTCCCTCTCCCAAGTGGCTTCATTTTAAATTGAACATGAGACTCTTTTACGCAGGTCTATTAAAGAGGCAGAGGGGTGGGTAAGGGCATGTGAGGTGTAGGAACTGCATGAAGCCTGAACTCTCACTTTGGAAACTTTTCATTGTTGTATGAATACTTTTACTATTAAGATGGATGCATTGGAGAGGGATGAACATGAGTGGGGAAACTTGCAGAATGATGTAGACAAGTTGTAGAGAAGAGTTTGGGACATGTTTGATTGGGACATGTAACATTATTGTCATTGTTTCTTTGTGTTTAACTGCTGATAAGAATTTGCCAACATTTCAATAATCTTGAATTTCCAGGATGATTCCAGTCCTCTTTATTTCCATCCACTATGTTTTTTTAACTTTATCTTTACCTTTATATAATTTCCAAAAGAAAACATCTGTGCAAGACAATGTCAAATGAAATCTCCTTTTTTCCACCTCAAGTTTTGACACATTTTGCATTTACTCATGTACCTTGGTAAATATCCTGTGTGGTTTTTTTAAGGTCAAATTGAATTGATGCATAGTCACTTTTTGCAATCTATGGCTAGTAGGGCTGAAATTATCTAGATATGTTGTGATCTACATCCCTTTTTTCTGGGAAGCTGAATTATGCACTTATTCTACATTCAATATTTTCCAACCTCCATCATTAATAATATTGCCTGCCATTTTACTTAATTTGCAGGTTATCCTTTATGGTGATCAAATTCCATGGAATAAACAGGAAAATGTGATTGTGATATGTAACCATCAAAGTTCAGGTACCAATTGTTTAAAGAGACAACTCTACACATAAACCCCAGGATCAGGTCTTACACTCTTTTTTCTCTATATTTATTTACTAAATCCTTTCATGTGGTTGTCATGTTTTTAACCAAAGTTCCAAATCTCCAAATAAGCAAGTTACAGTTCCTAAGATTAGAGTGTTCTTGGTGACCAAATGCAATTTGACTTAAAGTTATCCGATCCTTGGGATAGAAAATTGTCTATCTGAAGGCAAAACAAAACAAAACAAAAATATATGACCTAGCCCATAAAACTTGCATTTCCATTGCCTCACCTGATCATGGTGTTACCCTTTATACCTTAACATCAATATGCAAGTTCTCTTTACTGTTCTCCATACATTTACTATGGTTCTTACAAGAAGAATTTGTCTAACAATCAAGGGCATCTTGAGTTTACAATCATTTCCTTTATTCTCACAACCTTGAAGTTTGAGTAAGAAGTTATACCACTGGGAGAAATTAGACATGTGTTTCACTCTTAGAGTTTAACGGATTCAAGTACTTTCTTTCAAAAAAATTACAGCCTATTGAATATTTTCTAATATCATTAGCTTCCCACTCTTTTAAGGTAGTTATTCTATATCTTTGAAGAGAATTTGCATTTTCACCATTTAAAAGAAAACTCTGATAACTTTGGATGTTATATTTATGTAATTTATCTTTTTAATGTTTGTAAAACATTGTTTTTATGCAGTGGACTGGATAATCACTGATTTCCTTGCTGTCAGGCAAGGTTCTTTGGGAAGACTTCGCTACATTCTGAAGAACGGGTTGAAATATTTCCCTTTATATGGTTTCTACTTTGCTCAGGTAACTGTTTGAATCTCTGTATCTGTGCAGTTCATGAAATTAAGACTTTTAACTTTTGAATTCCCTGAAGTGATTAACACGTAACTTCTCCCTGTGATACCATTACATCATCCAGCAAACAGGTAATGAGAATACTCAGACTTATCAGGTAGATGCTGTTATCTTGATCCAATACCAAATACTCATAACTAATTTACAAGGAAATGTGTAGCAACTAGAGCAGAGAATTAACAATTAGATTGTGGGAGTTAAGGAGGTACCTGTTAAACTTTGTTGTTTTGTTTTGTTTTTTTGTTCTTTTTATTCTTTTTGTTTTGTTTTGTTTTTTTTTTTCAATTGAGGTGGGCATACATACACAAACCATGCTGTCTTATAACTTGATTACAATACTATTTACAGCATTCGTGTATATATGTTAAACGCAGTGGGGCAAAAGACCAAGATTACATTGCTAGGTAGGTTGTGCTTACATATTAAGTAGATTGTCACAACAAGTTTAGCAAATTGATGTAAGATTATTGGCACATGGTAGTTTTTTTAAAAATATTTTTTATCCTATGCACACTAAATTAGGCCAAAGCCCCTGTTGTAACACTGTACACCCAAACATCAGTATACATATTGATGTGTGATTCAGGGGTGATTAGAGGAATGTAATGGTAGTCTCTCCCAGGAGCAAAAGGGTTCAACTTTAAAAAGTGAGCATTACAGTTAAGCTTTTCATTTGGAAATCTTTTTTTTCCTTCATGCAAAGCAACATGCCCCTCTAAGGGGGTCTCCAGCAGGTAATGCCAGAAAAATATGAAATTTTAAACTCTCTTAGATGTGATTTCCAGCTAGCCATCTGGGGCATATTTGGAAACTTTTTATAGCCAGACCTGGATGTTAGAATCATTTCACAAAGTAGCTGGCATGAAATGGTCTGACAACTGGAAGCTTTCTACCACCAACAGGCTTCTAACCACAACCCTGTTAACCCTGTCAACCTTTTATCTTAAGGAAACTTACAGAGATGAAGGCTCGAAATCTACCTGTGAGTATGTTATGTGCTGATAAAAATAGTTTTTGAAAGATTATTTTTATGTTAAAAAAATTTTACTGTAACAGTTATCATAATTAGTAACATGTAGTGGTTCCTGTTTTTGCAACTTGAGAAATCTAACTGCTGATCTTTGCAAGTAACCAGTATTTGATTGTGATAACATTTTATCTTTTTTAATTTGTGATTTGATATTAATAATGTAAGGTTATATTTTGTTGTAGATGTGGTTAGTCATTTTTCCAGAAGGCACACGATATAATGTAAATAATAAAGCAGTGATTGAAAAAAGTCAAGCATTTGCAACTGAACAAGGTAACTGTCAGGAAATACTTAGGTAATTCATGAGTTTATGATGGTGTACATGATACCTTCCCTTAGATAATTTTCCCAGGTGACGTGTTTTATACCCTGGGTGTATTATGCCTGGAGGTGCTATGAGTGACCAAGACAGAATTTCTCCTTACAATATCAATACAATATCAACCAAACAAGTGATGAGAATAATGAAGAAATGTAAAATGGTTTCCGTGTTTACATAGCCTGATGTAAACACGTGGGAGGTTGGGAGAACATGAGATAAGCATAGGAAACCACAACGCAAAGCAGAGTGGTTTCCAGCTTATCAAGTGTTCTCCCAACCTCCCAAGTGTTTACATCAGGCTACGTAAACACGGAAACCATTTTACATTTCTTTTATCAAATAACTAATGAAAGAGGAATGAAAACCGTGTTTACATACACTCATGTAAAATGGTTTTATGGCCAATCAGAGCACACGTACTATTTGAATTATTTTATAAAGAAAAATATCAATCAGGAGATTATTAGTTGATCCAATACCAAATACAGACAGTAAGGAGAGTTACTTATTTTCGAGATCTTTGGAGTGAAAGGGTGAACAAAATGCACAGACCAACAAGTTAAATATAAAACTTACGGTAATTACTGGTAGCTGTACAAACAGGCATCTGTTGTTACTTGTTGTGCACATAGGGTTTATGCAGAATGCCAGCCCATGCCCAAATGGGACAATCAAATATTTTGATTATCAACTCTGATAATTGTCATGAGGTGAACAATAAGCCTAAAACATTTTTGTGCTTTTTTAATATTACCATTGGTTAGCATGTGCTTGTGATCAATTGTATTTCCTAGGTTACATTTGACCACATTTCACATTGTAGTTTGTCAAAGTTTATCACACAATCAACTTCTATCTACCATAATGTGCTCTTATTCTCAGGACTCCCAGTCTTAACTCAGGTACTTACCCCAAGAACAAAGGCTACTGAGGTTGGTAACCTGTGACCTGCATCAGTGTCACAATATAAAACTACACCTACAAAAAAACAAATATGTACAAAGTCAATGCTTTGATGATTTTGAAAGATTTTTTTGGAACAGGTATTTCAATGTGATATCATTTTGTTTTCTTCAAGGCCAGCTTCGAGGTTCTGTCTTCTGACTATTTGGATGCTGTTTATGACTTCACTATCACCTATAGCATGGCAAACGAGAATCATTTTCCTCGCAGACCAGCTCCAACTATGTCTGGTATGTGCTGCATAGCTGTATAGCCCACTGGTAACTTCTTTGAGTTCCACCCTTGAAGCCTAGCATGTTATGATATGGAATTATTAGTGTTAGACAGTTGGTGAATTCTCTTATAAATGTCTAATACCATAACAAGGTTAGCCTTAAATGGAATGTTTGTTTTCTCCTTTAGTTTTCCTTATTTAAAAAGGACAACAAGTCCTTTTGAGTTCCTTTTTTGAAGCCTGCTATGATATCAAATTATTTGTGTTAATCATTTAGTGAATTATCTGATAAATGTCCATTATCATAACAGGGTTGGCCCTAAAATGTGTTTTCTCCTTTAGATTTCCTTATTTCAAAAGGACAACAAGTCCATGTATACTGCCGAAGGCATGAAGCTAGAGATCTTCCCAAGGTTTGTTTGCAATGTGTTCATATATCATGTTAAATTTCAGTTGATTTTATTTAAAGTGGCTTTTTAAAAGATACCAGTGTTTCTTCTGATGTTGCATTCTCAATTACAAGCAGAGTCCATACAGAAATGAAATATCAAATCCTGCATTTGGATGTCTCTGTGGTAAGAGTTAATTTTAAAACTGTTGTCTTGCAGGATAGTGAAGGAAGAAAATCCTGGATCCACCAAACCTTTGCAGAGAAAGACAGGTAAGCTTTTAATGACTTTCATTTTGTTATTTTCTAATGATGAGAAAAGAGAGCAGTTTGAGGAGAATGTTAAAATATAGTTTTTAAAAAAAATTGATAAATTTATCTATACTCGAAAGACGGCAATCTAAGTCATTGCAGAGAAAGCAATCTGAAGAGAGTCAGGTTTTGACAGGGTTCAAAACCCATGACTCCCATTTATTACTTTGGTGCTACTACCAACTGATTTTATTATTTAATTATTAGCAAGAGGACTAGCATCTAATTTCTCCTTACAATATCACCCCTGAATCACACATTAAGGTCATGAGAATAAAGGAAATGATCACCAACTAAAGAAGCTTTTGACTGGTAAACAAGTTCTCCTTGTCAGCACCTGAGGAAATGTATAAAGAACAGTATGGAGAATATGTATACTGATCTTGGGGTGTTAAGGGTTAACTCGTAGGAGTGAGTATCGATACCATCTAATTTCTCCTTACATTATCACACCAGAGTCAAACATTTAAAGTCGTGAGAAAAAAGGAAAAGATCACCAACCAAACAAGCTCTTGATTGTTAAATAAATTCTCGTTATCAACACCTTTGGAAATATATAGAAATCAGCATGGAGATTGTGCATACTGATGCTAGGGTGAGTGGAAACAAGCAAACTTCCTGAGTGGTGGGAAGAGATCAAGGCATGGTTGTTTTTTATTTTGCTCCTGATTGGTTGAGGGAATAGCATGAGTTTTGGGAACAATTACAAAGCAAAGTAATGTAAAACCTGGGCCATCTAAGATCATTTCACCACTGGATTGCAAATTGCTCCAAGCAATGCATTTTGGGGTATGATATGTTTTTAGAGGTGGTAGGGTGAATAATTTCAATTAATTGAATGTAGCGTCCACTTGTAATGTGTGTGTGTTTTTTGTTTTTGTTTTTGTCTTTCCAGAATTTTGAATAAATTTTACCAAGAAGATGGAAAAATGCCTGGGGTTCCACGGAGGAGGAGGTTACCATGGACAAGAACTTTCCCATATTTTGTGTTTTGGATGGCAACACTTTTGCCATTTGTAATGACAAAATGGGGGCGATCAGCTTACTGGAAGATGTGGCTTGTCACAAGCTTTGGATCAGTATCTTATATGATGTTCTTGTTTGGGAAAGTTCAGCGGTGAAATATGAAGACAACACATGTTTGCACATTGAGAAAACCTGATACGAGTGTCCGGGTTTCATCAGCCATATTGCAAGTGCTAGTCTCCGAAATCTGTTTTTACAGGGTTCATACAGTCCTGGGAAAACCTGGAAATTCTTGGACTTCTGTGAAAGAGTTTTCAAAGACCTGAAAGTCTTCTAAAAAGATTATCAGTCCTGGAAAGACCTAAAATGTAGAATTTGGTATTAAATCAAGATGGTTGATATTTAACATGTACATTTTTCTTTATTCCCATCAGCTGTCATCTTGATATTGCATGGAGAAATTTAGTCAATCTTGAGAATTTAAGGGTTAATGGAATCTCTGGAGCCCTGGAAAAAACATTGTCAGCCTTGGAAAATTGTTTCTGAAAATAGGTAGATAGCTTGTTTTCAGGGTGGATATTTCCATTTGACCCCATCCTATCACAGCATGCTGACCCAGCCGCCTTGCAATTCTCTTTGTTTTGAAGCCAGTGAACCTTTCACCAGTCAGGGCAGAAAGTTTAAATCATCAGTGAAGTCAATGGGCAGAATCTTTCGAAGCATTTTATGTTTGATGAAGTATTCTACTGTTTTTTGACTTACATTAAGTTGCAAAACATCTCAATTCCAAATGCAATTCTGTAAATGTACCAATAGATGTTAGAAGTTTCACTATCAAATACCATTTTCCCCTTCCTCTCTTAAAAATTCCAAGTGCAAAAAAACTGTATTTGAATTAGAAGTTTATTAACAATCCAAGAATGTGATATATGTTCAAAATGCTTATACAACTTTTTAACTGCTAAATTTATGTATATGCATGTAACAATTTTAAAAACAAATGATTGCACTGTACATAACATGCAGTTATCAGCAAAAAAACAGTAGTATTAACAAGTTAACAACAATGAGAATGATGGGAACTATGCCTAAGTTCTTAAAGTATGGTGCAATGATTGCTATTGTACATGTGCTGGGTATTAGTGTAGAGTTCTTCAAGTTTGTATGCCTGTTGTATGTCTCCTGTAGAGTGCCTTGGAATGCGTTTGAATTGAGTGTTGTAAAAACAAAACTAAGTAATAAAAAGGCAAATATGAACAAAAGTGAAAAATTAACAAGAGGCAGATCACAACTCGAAGTAAAAAAGAAGTAAATGGCCTCAAGTGTAGGAAAAAATACACAAGAAAATTACAGCTATTGAGTTCAACTAGACAGTTGAAGATGAAGAATTTTTGCATTTGCTTTGGCCATCAGATGGAGTTGTGAGTTACATTTGTCCTCAGTTTTCCTTTCCTTTGCCATTTTCTTGTGAAAGCTGTGTTCCTACTTTACTTGGCACAACATCTTCAGTCACTATAGATCTGAAATGTAAGAAAATAAAGTAAATCTTGTGTAGAATGAGAACCACAACACTTTAACCCCTAAACTCCCAAGATTTCATGAGTAATTCTCCTTACTGTCTGCCATACAATTTATGTGATGATAGTTTAGAGAATTTGGAATTGGATCAACCAATAATACTCTAATGATATTTTTCTTTATTCTTATTACTTGTCTGCTTAATATTGTACTGATAATGTAAGGAGAAATTCTGTCTTGGTCACTAGTGAGACTTAAAGGGTTAACCCTGAGGAGTGCTAAATTTCTCCCAATTAACAGTTTCACTGCAGAATCAGACATAAAGGTCACAAGAATAAAGGAAATGATTGCAAACTCCTGATTATTAAACAGATTATCTTTGTATCTAAGTACCATAGGAAATGTATAAAGAACAGTAAAGAGAACTTACAGATGTTAGGATGGAAAAGGTTAACAAAAGCTGCAAACTAAACAAAGCTAAGTTTGTATGTTAGAAAGAAACTACTCAAGTGTCAAATACACCTGGGACAACTCACATTAACCCTTTAGTTCCCATAAGTGACCAAGACAGAATTTCTCCTTACAATATCAGTGACAATATCGAGCAGACAAGTGATGAGAATAAAGAAAAATATCACTTAAGGGATTATTAGTTGATCCAATACCAAATTCTCAAAACTAACATCAGGAGAACTGTATTGCAGACAGTAAGGAGAATTACCAATGAGATCTTGGGAGTTAAAAGGTTAATAGGGGACATTGTAGTTACATTGACATCAAATTGTACATAACGCGTTTACTAAAAATATATGAAAAAAGTGACTTTCAATTAGAAAGTCACCTCACAGATATGAGTCATTGCTGAAATTTCAAAACATATAAAAAGATTTCTCTAAAACAAATTTCTAATACTATCTGTAAACTGACACATGATGTTATATTATAAACTTCGTTATTGTGAAACATGGCATGATTAGTCTGTCTAACTGATCAGTTATTTAATTCTTAAATTAAAGACCTACTGACCACTGACAAATCAAAGTTTTGCCAAACCTTTACTACTGGTAATAAGTATAAGGCAAATTCTGCATTAAAAGTGTGTGCTTGAAGGCAAAAGAAAGATATTTGTATGTATTTAATCAAAGAAAAAAAAAGAAATAACAAACATTAATTTAGGTTGACCACAGGAAAAGTAATTTTGAGAAATGAATTATTGTTGAAGCAAATCTTAACTGGATGGTGTAAAACAATAGCCAAAGTAATCATGACAGCCAATCAGAGCAAATATCAGAAGAAGATACACAAGAAGTTTTATACAATATGAGTGAGGAAATGATGAGTGTGTTGGTCACAATTAATTTAACATTTGCATCTTAATGGTTGGAAGGACAGCACTAGTTCCCTAAATAATTCACACAGAGAAATAAAACAGAAATGATATCAGACCATTAATGACAATAAATCTAAAACTGCTCTATCAAAGACAAAACGCAAGAACAAATCAACCCCGCTTCTGAAGGGGGGGAAGGCTATCCAGAATCCAGGGAGAGGGTGCAGGGAGGGTCTGTACTCACTGCAAGCGAAACATACAACGACATTCAATACCAATTTTATATAGGTTGAAAATCCCTTACCAGGGCGGTAAGGTGGTCAAGGCTGTAGATAACTACTGAATAGATGCTTCTTCTAACCTAGTAGCTACAGAGTCTGTATCGCTCGTATCTCCAGCCTGTTCAGCAGATTCCTCTGAGGTCTGTGTGGTGTCATTGGTTGCCAGTTCTGATGAGGACTGCTCACTTTCGGGTTGGTTTTCAGTGTTACCTCCTTTATCAGTTGCTATGGGGTCTAAAGTTGGAGTAGGAGCGGTTGGATTTAATCTCGATGTGGCTGGAATGCGGATTCCAGCGACACCTTTGCTCTCGACATCCTTCTTATCTCGTTTGATTCTTCGCCTTCTACCAGGTTCATTCTTACGTGTTTGAAACATATTTTCAAAGTCGATTACATACAGAAACCCAGCGATTAGTAAAGTACAAGATCTCTGTCCACTCTTAAAAGATTTTTCTAATTCAGGCGATGTTTTCTCGTCATAAGACCACCATCCATTACGACCCTCGTAATACCAAACAAACTCGTCCGCGTCATTTTCGTCGCAAGATTTCTCTTTCGATTTCGCAGCTTTTTCCTCCTTATTAACTTCTTCTACAACTTTGATAAGCGTTGGATTCTCCAGGTAGTCTACGCTGAGAGAATGACGGCATAGAGCGCACCGTTTACTCCGCAAAATGACTCCTTTGATGCACAAGAAGCAGAAAATGTGTCCGCATGGAAGTTTTACAGGATAAAAACAAGACTGTAAACAAACTGAACAATCAGGGTTGTGATCCATCTCTTCGATCGTTTGAATCACTACATCTTCGGAAAAACCTAAAAACAATCAAAATTTTATTACATTTTTGAGTTGCAGGAGTCATTTATCAAACGTTCTGTTTAAAGGCAATCATTACAGAAAGCAGTTTGTTTTCAAAAATATGGTGGCCACTTTGTGAGCAGCTGCCTCGCACGCGGAATAATCGAACTCCGTTGAAAAGTAAAATCACCTACCCTCGGTCGATGGCTTTTCTGTCTCCTCTAATAAAATTGAAGATTCTGTGCGGTTTTCAGCCGAATTAACGGTCGCTTCAGCCATGAGGATTCAGAGTAATTTTGATATTGAGTCTATGCTACTTTTCACGATGCTGAGAGTGGATGTTCGTGCCCAGTCGACGCATCATGTCGCTTTTGCAGCTGTCACGCAGAAGATGCACGCAATGTCAGAACATAACGCAATCCGACACGTCGCGTATATACGTAACGCAACATTGAGATTTTAAAGTTTATGTTCTCTTGGTTGATGATAAGCATGCCCGTTAAAGAAATTTTAGGAATCTTTTTGCTTCTGTTAAGAGGTGATTTGCGAAACTAACCCCACTCTCCTCTGATCCCTACTTCAATGGAATTTTGAGTGTTTTTTTTTACCATTTTAATATCATAGTTTTATCCAACTGAAAGATACCATAGTTTCTCGAATAAGTACCCAAGCACCTATCTAAAATTTTGGCTAAATTGATGGGCACTAATTGGAAGGAAGGTGCTTAAGCAAGGGGGGTGCTTTTCAAGAAACTATTCTTCTGTACTGATTCGGCTGTGAGATGAAGCATGACAAGTTAAAAATTAAGTGGCAATAAATATAGGTTTTCCTTGTACCTATATTATTTATAGAAGTAATGGGGCTGCTTATTCGATAGGGGCGCTAGTTTGATATTCAGGCGTAGAGGTTGGACGCCTTTTCGGGGGAGGGCAGTTTTCAAAGCGTGGGCGCTTATTCGAGGAAATAAAATACGGCATTTACTCTTTATAAGTTTCCTTCCCATCTTCCTCAAATGAATTAAGTTCGCATAGCACCTGGAAATATTTCATGGAAAAAGATGAGACACTCGAGACATTATTCAGTGCGAGCCAAAAGTAGCTATTTGAAAGTTGACACAACCTTTCTCTTCCACTTTCTCAAAGTGACCGAAATTATACCTTGGCAAAGCCGTGAAGTCTGGTTCATTCTTAAATTTATCATTTACTTATGTTTATGTAACTATTTGTTTAAATCGTTACTTTTTATGCTTAAATAAAGCCATGAAGTGCCTTTGTGACCATTTATTTTTTAGACAAAACTTTATTCCGTTCTGCCGGACCAATAGACCGCGTTTCCTCGAATAAGCGCCCACGCTCCCAGTGAAGGGCCTTCCCAGCCCCGAGGAATAAACTTCCCCTCCTCCTTCACTTTCTAAATAGTAGGGATACAATGAAACCTGCTTCTATTGTCACTCTAGTTATAAATTTGTAAGCTTTAACTACAGCGGAATCAATAAAGGTTAAAAGTTCCTTCATAAGCGCCCTCCTCGATTAACTGCCCTCCTTCCAGTAAGCGCCCCTTCCTTTAGCAGAAATTTTAAATAAGCACTCCGGGCGCTTATTCGAGGAAATATGGGATTTCATTTGAAGAAAAAAGATGGGAAGAGCATAATATATTTATAGCACAGCACTGACTGCAGCTGTAAAATGATTAAATGAAAATGCTGACGATAAACAAACTTGCTTTAACATAATAGCCTTTCTTTCAAATTTCTAATTAATCTTGTTTGGCAATCGTTATTTAGCTGCAAGAAAACAGTGTCAGCGACAACGCTAGATTTATGACGTTTGTTGAAACAGGTTCTGTTTTCAATTTTACGCGTTTCACCAACAGTTTGCGTCGTAAAATGGAAAAAAAAAAAAACGTAAGGCAAATGTAACGACGCAAGAACTAGACTTCCTGTTGTTCTTGATGTAACCGATCCCTTTAGAAAGGTGGATCGCACCTGCGAACCGCATGCCTGTTTCCCATTTCCACTGCACGATTATCTTGCTGCCTGCGCCATTAGGTTTAATGATTTCGCCTTCGTTTGGCCTTACTTTCGCTTTGCACGATGTGGTACAGGTGAATTGTAAATATTCAAATTCCGTCAAAACTTTGAAACCATACAAGCTGTTTTGATTAAAGGCGCTTAAACGCAATAAAGCCAGTTATTTTTTTTGTGGCAGATTATGGAGTGGATATTAGATGAATATGCAAAAACATCAAGTACTTATCGCCAACAAAAACAGCCGCCCCATTTGACAGTACTCTTATTACATGATAAATTATCATGTCAACATGACATCATTCACGACGACAGTCGATATACGAAAATTCGAACGCCAGTCAAAAGAAGTATTATCCTTTTATGTTGCAAAAGGGTTTTAGTTACTGCAACAAAGTTTTCGCGTCGCTTGCACGAATCTTCGTTTGAGCAACTTTGCGGGATCGATCTTTTAAGTCCTCGTTTCAAATTCCGTACAATCGGTTTTTCTTCATCATTCTCTATTGCTCCGAATTAAGTTTTCAATTCGCAGTGTACTCAATCATTTGAAATGATAAATCCTGTTTTATCTGATGTTAAGGAACTGTGAAAACAAGGTAGATAGAAAAAACGCGTAAAGGTTGTCATCGCGCGCGTTGTCGATGCTCGAGTCCTCGTTGCTCGCACGCTGACCACTTCGGTTCATATACTCTGCGGCATTACAAGAAATTCTCACGAAGCGTTAGCAGCTTTTCACAAAGGAAACGGCACAGCTGGGAAAAATAGCTGTTAAAATGCTTTAGTTTTTCGCCGCCCGTCGCTTGGGACTTAAGGTGAATCGTGGTGTTGTTTAAATCAATAACATTTTTCGTTCGATAGCGTGGTTTAGTAAAATGTCACTTCTACAGACGCTGTGCTGTGGTTGGCAGACTTTCCACCAAGAGCAGATGAGTTAAACGATCCCCAGCGTGTTGTATGTTCACTTCGAGCGCAAATGGATATCAACACCCATGGAAATGGAAAAATCATTGAACTCCAGTCGAAATTTTAAACTTCCACCGATTCAAGGCGCTGTTCCGGCGGCGAGTATTCTTCGGCAACCACCAAGGCCAACTTGGCAACAAGATCAAGCGCGAGCCAATGCGGTTGCCTTGCCGAATCATGGCGCATCAGTTAAACCACGAGCAGTAATTCACATCCCGAAGGATCCATTCCCAGGACGATACAGAAGTCCTCATATTAGTCACAAAATATCGAGTGTATCGACACAGAGACTCGCTTCAAATGCAGCGATCGACGAGAAATACGGCGATTCGAAGTTAGATTTTGCACCGCGCCGACATCAGCTTCCGCAGTCGTACTCTGTTCTACCTCCGATTCAGAAACTCAAAGAGCCAGTCGATAGAGGAAGGCAGGTAACTGCGGCACAAGACAGAACTTCTCGCGGGGAAAAAGAGAACAACAATTTAAATGTTACTAATAAACCAATTGGGGATAATAGCTCGCAAAGTGATAATCAAAAAAACGATGACCCGCGAAAAGTTGGCAACAGTAATGGCAAAAACGGCGACAAAAATTGTTCCCGCGTTGAAGCGGGAAAAGACTCGTCTTCCAGAAAGAAACAGAAAACAGACAATCAGGATAACGAGACTGGAGAAAGAAAACAGAGCCCTACGACGCTGTTGTTTTTAAAGGGAAAACGTAAAGGTCGAAGGGTCGGCGTTTGTGTGGAAAATGAACCGGCTTTAATCAACATAACTGAACAGCTAAAAGAAATCTTTCTTCGCAGAAATATGGAAGAAATGTACCTAATTTAGCAGTGTGCACTTGACAACCGAGTTTCAAATGGGCAGGTGTAAGTTTAATTTCGTGAAAGCTGTATTTGTTTACAGTTTAACGCAGCAGTGAGGACAGGATCTAAATTCACTCTAAGAGTAGTGAAAATCGGTCGAGAAAAACATCCTACCGGTCACGTTTCTTGCATCATAGGCCGTGTGAAACGTGAAAGTTTTCAAAGCCTTTGCTTCGTCGCATCTCGGTTATTTTCTGTCTTTCACACTGATTAAAAAGTCAAAAGCTTGGGATTACCATAACAACTGATGAAAATTCGACAATTTTGAGTCTCCTTTGCCAGCTTATTTATTACGTTTTTCCATCTGTGGGTTCGCTCTCTGGCCATGAATTGAAAAAAGGTTCGAGGATTTTCCTTGATGATGGAAAAACTATGCAAAACAAATTGAAGCGATTACAAATCGTACTCAAAGAAGGAAAAGAACATTTCCTATTTAAATAGATCCAATAACATTTTACCGCTTACATATGGTTTTACTTCTCTTAACGTACCAAGCAAATAGACGAAATCTATGCCGGTTGAAGCGTTGAAATAGATTAGCACTGAATTAATCTTTTTTGGTTAAAGGCGCTTTATTGAAGGAAAAATGTCTTAGGGAAAGGTGAATTAGTGCTATAATGACACCGAACTTGGCTAAATGTTACTTGAAACGATGAAGCTTTCGGACTCAAATATAACTCAGATATAAAAGAAGTATCACGTCTGCAAGACTAAAAGCTTAGTCATATTTATTCATAGAATTGCGACAAACTTTTGGAAACATTTGCAAATAGACTATTTAAACCTGTGAATTCGCTTCCGAAGATTAACTTCAATTGGTTTCCATTTTAAAATTTTTGTAACATAAAGCTTTTAATGTTTTTAAGAATCCATGATGTTAATATGTAAATAAAATGTGAACCTCAACTTCTCTGGTTCCCATGGCAGTCGAAATTCTGATTAACAGCGTTCCTGAGAATTAGAAAGAATTCTTAGCCTTTGCGGTAAATGGGGTAACTGTCTATCGTCTGAGGACTGATGTGAAAAATTTGATGATGTGATGTGAAAAATTTCACCCTGGTTGGCGAGCTCCGGTTTTGATCTTCACTTTAATCTTTTACAGATGATGGAAAAAGATTTGAAGAACATGTTATTCTACAAGTTTATAAAAGCACTAGGTCACTTCTTGACCAAAAAAAAACCTATTTTAGCCTAAAATTTCGAATAGGTACCGATTTTTCTGTAATCGTTTGAAATGAAAGCTTGAGAGTAATGAAATGTCGCAAATATGATTAAATGCATCATTTTCACAACGAATGGCTAATACCAAAATCTGTTATCTAGCAACAGAGACAATTCTACTTACAAGAGCTAAAATAACCCTATTCTTAAGTAAAAACCAATTTACGGAACCTCAAAAGATATGAAATAAAAATGTCTAACAGACTTACACGAGGGTTGTTACCCCATAGCAGTGAATGTCGGTGATAGCGAAAAATAGTAGAAAAGAATATTGGTGAAACATTGTCGTCGATTTGCTTTCGTTTACATCATCGTAAGAGGGTTTCAATTGGGTAAACCGTTAACAGTAAAACGGCAGAAAAATTTAGCCGTTAGGCGTAACGATTGATAAGTCGTAGAAAAGGTGAAAGGTGGAAATAGTTTTTTTAATCGCAAAGGAAAGAATATTAAGCGTTACATCTAAGAGCCATCACTGCATTGAGACTTCTTGAAACGACTAGGGATCGAATGATGAAAAAAGTGTTTATTTCAGACATGGTGCCAGTTGCCATCAAAATCAACACTTTTTTTATCTTAATTTTTAATGAGAAATCTTCTTTGCCCTTTCTGGCGTGAAAACTGTGATTGGCTCCTTGTTATTCTCCACAGCTGCTTGCAAGCCACGTATCCTGAGAAGTAGAATGAAGCTGAAAGCAGCAATTAGAAGTTCGGAAATTCTATAGTTTTGTGGCGCAAAAAAAGGAAGACATATGCTCCATCTTTTCGAGCAGCCGTTCTGTTTTGTTTTGCTGTAAAAACAACGGAAGTGTAAGTCGTATTGAGAGACCCGTCATTATTTATTGCCTGTGGGGGGAGGGGAAGGAAGGGGGGGTAGGATTTTTCGTTGTGTCACAATAAAATATACCTGATTTCCCCCCCACACACACACACACACACACACAAGGCTCTGTAGCATTCTTATGATCCTCTCTTCATTGGCAGTTAATTGACAATCAATCCTTTACGGTCCCCCTCAGGTATACTCTGTTGGCGACGACTAATACCCTTCCCCCCCCGTTCCGCACTTAAACCATGTGGTCCGTCCGTTCCCTCTCCGTTCCCTCTCCCTTTCCCCCAGGCAATAAACACTTACCTTAGGTTACTTAGGTTCTCTGACTCCCCTGTCTTGCGTCACTCTTGTGTTTTCTAGCATTTTCTTACTTGACACCTACTAACAAAATAGCATTTAACATGCCCCTTGTACTTCCCTGTACCCCTGTGTACAGAAATTAACTAATTACGTGGGATACCTGTGGCAGACCACGTAAAAAAATTCGCTAGAGAGTGGTCGTAGTAGTCAGATATGGAAATTAGCCACGTGTTTGAGCTTCTCACTGAAGTGAAGCCTTGTTGGCCGGGGTTTCTAATTGGAGCAACGCTATTTGCGCGAACAAAATCGATTGACGAAATTTGCTCTAGATTTTGTTTGGCTTGTTTGCCTCGTAGGCAGTAAAATATGGGATCTGAAAAAGTGTTTTTGCCGAAGACAGGGAACATACACTGAAAAGGCAATCTTCGCCGTTTTGCACTAAGGCAACGTTCAGTAACACGTACCTTCGCCGTCTTTGTGATAGTTTTTTTTTTAAAGATCACTGAGCAGGTTAGACTGATTGAAATTTCAATCTTCATTTATTACCGAACTATTTAAAGCCTAATGCGGTTCCTGTGTAATTTACACTCTATGTAAATGATTTTTTTTGTCCGTTCCAGCCGTTTGAGCACCTGGCTTATGGTTTTCGTTCCCCCTTTCTTCCCAGATTCTCCATACCGTTTTCCAAACGTTTGCTACAGTACTGACAAGGAGAATTTGTTTAACAATCAAGAGCTTCTACGGTCGGTGGTCATTTTCTTTATTCTCGTGACCGTAATGTTTGATTCAGGAGGGATAAGGTAAGGAGAAATTAGATGCTGGTCGCAGTTACGAGTTTTAGGGTTAAGTAAGCTGTCAGAAGTAAATGAATTGAGCGACGTTCCAACCGTTTGCCAACGGGATCTCTGTAGCTTAGTTATAATGTGTCAGACCAGGAAATCCAGAGGTCCGATCCTCATGGAAGACTCAGGCATTTTCTTTGCCATATGTTGGTGCAAAATGATAACACCGTTCTTTAATTAAGTGATATTACTATAAATTTTGCAAACGAACTCTTTGGAAAACGTTTTTAACGTGGTGCATATAGGTTAAGAGTGTACCTTGAAGTTGTCGTGTTCGCCATTGTTCGACTGACTTTCTCTGCAGACTTTCTCTGTTGTGAGCAGTTGCGGTTTGAGTTGAGGTTGGGATTGGGGTTTGGGGTTTGGGTTAGGCTTTTGGTTTAGGCTAGGACGAGGGCAAATGTGATGGAACAACGAAAGTGGTAAGTTGTGTCGAGAGCAGATTTCCTTTCGATGATCTTTTGCGAATGAGGTGCCTCAATGTAGCTTTTAAATGAGTATTGCTGTATCCATACACGAAGGGGTTCACAACAGAATTTAAGAAAACCGAGATGCTTAAAAACTGATACACAGGTGCTGTCCAACGAGGCCAATCCAGCTCAGAATCGTACTGCGTTTTCAACCTAAGGCTGAGTCCTAAAATAGGCAGCCACCACTCACCAAAGTAAGATAACAAAAGAAAAACTGTAATAAGCTGCTTGGAAGCCTTTTTAGCTCGGCTATTCGTAGCTAAATTCGCAGGACTAACCCTTGTGTGGCTAATCTGTTTACGGTGACGCCAGGAGAGTTTTAAGATACAACCGTAAATACTGAGCATCACGAGTAAAGGTGCACAGTAATTCAGCAAAAATAGCGGGATAAACAGTTCTATCGGCAGAAAATGAAAGCAGGATGAATGCTTCTGAATTTGTGACCTCTGAAAAGTGTCAGCAGCAAAGACAAAGGCTGATGAACCAAAGGAATATAACCACAGTAATAGAGCTGTTATCCAGACAGTCTTATCATGAATCATGTTGAAGCGGAATGGGTAAATGATCCGAAGAAAACGAGCCACAGACACGCTGCAGAAACTTAAAATTGAAGCAGAGGCTGTCACTAGATAAGCAAATGTTCTTAATTTGCATCCGAGCACGCCATATTTCCAAGTTCCTGAGATCAGATGTTGGAGATGAAAAGGCACAACCACAAGAGGAAACAGAATATCTGATACAGCGAGGCTAACCATGAATGGATTGACTGCTTTTCGAATCTCGCGTGAGAAAGTGAAGAGCAGAATAAAACCGCCGTTAATGACCACGCTGCCGAGAATTAGAACAATGTAAATACAAGCCGTCGTGTAATGATACCACTCCATCGTAGGCGAGTATTACAGTTTGAGAGCTGGTCCGATGTTTCTCAATTTCCTGAAGTTAACATCTCTCGCTGGAGGCTGCTGTAGATGGAGGAATCAGGTAACTTAACCAAAATACTCCAGCCCCCTCAGGCGATAAAAAATGACAGGCCCTTAATATGATATAAATACATGTTGGTTTACCATGTGCACCACTGTTTATATCTCAGTAAACGTCAATTTATTTTTTTATGTATTCGTGAATCGCAACTCAGTGTGACTCAGGCTAACACATCCTCTTTTACTTTTGTGTTAAAATGGAACAATTTTTGTTATCTGTAGTGCGGGGAGAATAACATTTATAGTTTTTTCAAAAAGTTGTCATTGACCTTTTCCTATTCTAATCGACAAAGTAACCGAAAAAAACTGCCTCCTTATGACATTGTGGACAATGAAACTCAAGCAGCGAAATCGGAATGAAAACGTGAACTGAGCAAGGTCATTCCAAGAAGCTTAAAGTTTGCACTCCAAAGCTGGGTTTTTCATCCTATTAGAGAAGGATTACTTAATTTAACTACTTGTTTCAACATTAAGATTTGTTACCTTCATGTAGGTTGCGAACTTACCTCTTGAATTGAGCTTCGAAGTGAGGCTGACCTGTGAGCATGCAAAGTTTCACAATCTCGTCGTCTTAAAAATTCGTTTGCCGCAACAGCTTCCTAAATAATATACCTATCCTTCTAGTGAGGTTGCAGCTTGCAGGCTGAGCGGAGATTATGGACAAAGAAATCATTTCACGGGCAAGGGATGTTTTTGAAAATTTGGATCGGATCCATCTTTCAGATTTTCCGTTAATAGTTCTAGGTCGATCGAATGTATTCTTGAAGCTAATTTATTTACACAACATTTATAGTAACGTCTCCAGCTTTAAGACCAGGTCCCGGTTTTTCGAAGGTTGGATAACGCTATCAGCTGAATAAATCTCTATCCGGTGGATAATTTAGCATGTTTTGATATCATTTATCTGCTGGATAGCGATTTATCCGTTGGATAACGCTATCCGACCTTTATACAATTAGGCCCAGAAGAAAAATCTGTGGTCATTAAATTTTCTCGGGTGGTAAACAAAATATTAAAAAAAATGACACTTTCGCTACAAACGGAACATCACATTGTGTTCGGTTCCGACAGATGGCGATCGACGAAAAGAAAAGATGGCTGCTCTCTTTGTCTGTGCTTTTTTATGAATTTTTCTGTTCTGTCTTTGATTTGTTATGTGTTTCCGTGCTGTTCATAGTGTTCCCCTTCCACCGAAAGAAAAAAATGTTAGAGAAATATCAATGAC